AGAGAGAGAGAGAGAGAGAGAGAGAGAGAGAGAGAGAGAGAGAGAGAAATAAAATAAAAATTGACCAAACCTGTTCAGTTACACTCTGAAAATGATCAGACATGCAGTACAGGCGTCCACCAAACACTTTCGGGGAAGAAGGAAAGCTGAAGTGAACTACACACGTGGCGTCGGTGATGGCCAGGAGGGGTATGCAGTCGTCTGTTAAGGCTGAAGAAAAGAATATCTACAGGTCCCATGAACTCCCATAAGCAGGCCTAGCACCCACACCACCATGTTTCTGTACTACATTTTACATCTTTATTTGAAGTGCTCAGGCAGAACTCAGGCCTCACACAAGCTAGGCAAAGGCTCAAACTAAGTCACTGCACCATACTTTATATATGCAAAGTAAGACCTTTCTCTTTCCCCCGCCAAATGTTACAGCCTAATGATAAAATTCCAGAGACAGTGACCTCTTAGCTCGAAAAATGTCTTCCTCTATCATAAATCAGACTGCCCACAGACTTTTCACTTGCTCCTTAAGTTTTGAGCTTTATATTTCTGTTATTAAGCTTAGTATCATTACGGGTGTGTGCATGAGTGGATGACTGGATAAACAGACAGACGCATAGACCAACACAGACTTTCTACATAGGTGAACCCAAACTGGATTTCTCAAAAGAACCTGCTTGCTAAGCTGAGAGCCCCGGAGTGCCTGGATTCACCTTATAAGAAAGGCCAATCTTCATCTGAAATGAAGATTTCTCATGAATGCTGAAACCTTAAAAATAATGAAAAGTCTGAATATGATATAAAAATGAGGAAATGATCCCTACTAGCTCAGTCTTCTCTACATACAGACAGAAATCAAAATACTTACTTAATACAATGTGAGAGCCAGGACTTAACTTCTTCTTCCACTGTTCTAAAATACTTTTTAAGTTAAAAGTCATCTCTTTATGCATTTTCAAGCAAAATATTGAATTGCTTTCCACTACCTAAAGAGGAAATCAAAGCCACAGCTCACCACCAGAATCACATAAGCTCAGGAAATGGCTCCGTGAACTGCCCATGTCAACTTTAAATTATCAGCAAGAGAATAAATCAGTAAATTTTGAGAATGAGGCTGAAACATCCCCCAACGGTTCTGTAGTCTTCATCTAAAGATCTACTGTAAGTGAAACACTATTTCCCTTTTTTTTAAAAATAACATGTATGTATGTGTGCATACGTATGTATGTGCCTACATCAATTACGTGTGCTGCTGTTGTATACTGTACCTTATGATGGAAAGGAAGGCATGGTTCTGAGTTTTTAATCTTGTATTTGGCTTTGTTTCTACATTTTAGCATAAAATGTTTACAGAATTAGATTAAGCGGCATACATCTTAAGATAATTTGTTTGGCTCTTCTGTCTACAATGAAGACTGTATGTGATATTACCTCATTATTATCTTCTCGGTTTTCTTAAGAGTGCAAATGTGGTGTTTCTCACCAACCAAGTCTTTCACACTTCACATGACACAGCCACATAGCACTGTGACAGGTCCTGTTTGCAGTCTTCCCAACACAGCCTGGAGTTACACTGTGAGACTGCAGCACCCTCCCCCTCCCTCTGTCCATTTCTGATCAGCAGACTAAGCTACGGCTCCTACCACTGATGAGAACGTGCTGGCCTGAGGACAGGCTTACCTTACATACAGTTTCTGTTTCAGCCACAGAGCAGGTGAAGATCAAGGTCTTCTGGGCCTGACTTGGAACAAAGTCAAGAACTTGGAGTAAAGTTGAGGTTTTCTCACACTCCAGGCACAGATGCACCACCTGCGGATGAGCAGAGAAACAGGAGCTTTCTGTGTAAAGCTCTCCAGCAGCACCTCTTCCAGAGAGCATACCATTCGACAGGAAGGAATGCACAGGAAACCAACATAAATATAACCCACTTACAGATCTGTGGACGAAACCACAGCTACCATCTAACAGACACTAGTTCTTGTGTGTGCTCGCCAGCCCCTCCCCATCACCTGCTGGACATTGCCATAGAGGGCAGCCTCTTCCAGGGCGGTGATCACGACGTAGGGCTCCTTCATGAACTCTCTGACTAGATGGTCTATGTGTCTGTTCCAGTGAACACCCACTGCCACAATCTGGTGTGGTGCAGACTCCCGCTCTTCCACTTCAACGTTTTTTTTAAAGTTATCTAATATGGCAAACATCTGAAAAATTAGTAAATTTAATCTTTGTTTCAAAATAGAGTAAAGAATTAGCTGGAACATAAAATTCAGGGACTATCCATTTGATGTTTTTAGTGTGGGGAAAGCCTTTCCAAAGATTAAAAAAGGAAAAAAATAAAAGAAGAAAATGCTTGTAAATAAACACTGTAAAATTCCACTGGGACAGAATAAAGTCACAAACAGCATCCTGGTGTATAATGTTTGTACCAAGGATGCTTATATTAAAGACCTCAAAACTCAATTATAGAAAAGATAACCCCATCAATTAAAAACAAGCAACACACAGAAGAACAGAAACAATGAACAATTTGCATTAATTTTCAACTTAATTAGTCAAGGAAATAGGAACTAAGCAAATAGGAATCCACTGTTTACCAGGTGGCATAGAAAACAAAACACAAGCCAGGCTCAGGCCTCCACATGACAGGTAAGCAGTATGCCTAATATGACAGCATGCTAGCAACAGCAACAGACTGCCCACTGATTTCAGAAAAGCCACGGTACTGAGCTGCTCGTCTAGCTATCAGCGTGGTAATATGCACCAGGGCTTCAAAGGAGCCTATATAGTCACTAAGAAACAAGCCTGCACTTTACCTGGGGGCTACCAACATTCCCAAATAACAATTTTGGTCAGCATGCCACACTGTTTCCAACACATGATTCACAAAAACTCAGTTTTAAAGGTATGTGGCTCTGATCCCAGAGAACCTAGACAGCAATGAGGACTTAAGAGAGACTTACATGGATCTAATCTACATGGGAAGGAGAAAAAGACAAGATCTCCTGAGTAAATTGGAAGCATGGGGACCTTGGGAGAGGGTTGAAGGGGAGGGGAAAGACAGAGAGGGGAGCAGAGAAAAATGTAGAGCTCAATAACAATAAAATAAAAAAATAAAGGTATGTGGCTCAGCAGGAGGGCACTTCCCTAACAGGCACAAGGCACAGGTTTACTGTAAGTTGTTATGCCCATGAGCAATAACCATCATGCTGCAGAACAGCACAACACTATTTGGTGTGGGAGAATGGTCTATATTCTGTCAATTATACTTTAAATAAATGCTGATTGGCCAGTAGCCAGGCAGGAAGTATAGGCGGGACAACCAGACAGGAAGTAGAGGCGGGTCAATGAGAACAGGAGAATTCTGGGAAGGAGGAAGCCCACTCCTCTGCAGTCCTGATTCGGCCACAGAAGCAGGATGTGACTACCCTACTGAATAAGGTACTGAGCCACATGGCTAACACAGATAAGAATAATGGGCTAATATAAGCTATAAGAGTTAATAAGAAATTTGAAATACTAGCCAATCAGTTTATAACTAATGTAGACCTCTGTGTGATTTCTTCGGGACGTAACGATTGCAGGAACCAAGCAGGACAGAAAACCTGACAACAACTATTAACCACAAAGTTTAAGTTCTGAATCAGTACTAAATGGCTCTTGCTATTAAGTGTATTTATCAACAAAAGTCATTTAAAAGAAAGACTACCTCTGAGTACAAGACAAGGGACGGTGGATCTGCTTTCAAGTGCTCCTCTATTTTTTTTAATATTTTTAAATTTTCTTTTAAGAATGTCCCTTCTATAATTAGAGAAATAGTAAAGAAATATGCAACAAATTTTCTTGGGAATTTCTGTTCTTCAAAGGGAGATTTACCATTAGGAAGGAAATTTCAGGTAAACACACTCTCTTCTAAATTATAGATACAAACCAATTGATTTGCCAACTGTATATTCTGATTGCTTCAAGCCCTGAAGAGCCGACACATTTCAGAAACACACAAGCTATTATAATGGATAGCAGTGGCACCCAGTGTGTCCATACTCACTTGTTCATTAGCTTCAAAGAACAATACTTGCACTTCATCTAGAACCAGGTGGCAGAGTCGAAGAAACAACAAGCTTCGGTACGTGAGAAGTCTCAAGAGGCTGTGTGGAGTTGTGACAATCACATCACCTACATTTAGAAAAAAACAATCAACATCTTAGGGTTTCTACAAGTTTCTCCAATACTCCCTTCACCACGATTCACTTCCTTCTCAGCAGCCACTTCTCTACTGGGTGAGCAAGGCAAGCAAGCTTCTATCCATCCTGTCTTAGCCTGCAGTATCCGACCACACCCCCAGCTGCCACAGGCTCTGCTTGCCTGAAAGGCAGATTTCCTCAACTCTGGGCTCGGCATCTGACAGTGAACAGTTAGTAGCACATGACAACTGAATGAAATCATGCAGCTTTCTCAGACGTGAGTTGAGACTGAGCCTTCACCACGGACTCCCACTGTAGGAAGTCAAGTCAGAGCCAGTGGCCAGTAACTGCGGTCCCAGGCTGCCCAGGCAAGCTCCCTGTCTTCTGCAGAGAAAAGCAAACAGCTTGGAAAGGATGCTTACACCCCCTTGGAAGCTTCATATTTTTGGCTTCATCTTTGTGAAGTCCAATTGTTAACAACACAGGATGAAGAGGCCTGGAGGACAAGCTATAGTCTCCCAATAACTCAAAAATAAACTGGGCCTTTTTCCACCCAGGACACACGATGACTGCAAGAGGCTGCAAAGACAAACAGATTCAAATAATTTTGGACAGTTGTTAGGAATCAAACATAATGTATACGAAACATCCAGACCATCTCCTGGCAGAGAATTAGTCTTTAGTTATCATCATCATACAGATGAAAAAAGTGAAAATATAATTTCATTAGAGTGGATTTAGAAACACTGAACTAGTTCTTAAGTCAAGGTAAGATACTCCCTAAGATATTTAACCTTAACACACTTTTACAGGGTAGGGACAAATATTCCTCTTTTTTGTTTTGTTTTTCAAGACAGGGTATCTCTGTGGCTTTGGAGCCCTTAGACCAGGCTGGCCTCGAACTCCCAGAGATCCACCTGCCTCTGCCTCCCAAGTGCTGGGATTAAAGGTGTGCGCCATCACCGCCCAGCTTAGAAAGTTTCTTTTCTTTTCTTTTTTAATTTTATTTATTTATTTTTTAAGTATTCCTTATTTCCCAGGAAGACTCTGAGGCACAGAGGTGAAGTCACTCCTCAAGGCTGTGCATCTAATACATCAGTAGAAAAAAAGTAAGAGCCCAGATGTCTGGCTCCATTTCCTGCTCCTAAGCATCAGGATGAATGCCTTAAAGAGTGGTCACCTCTGAAAGAACCTTAAAAGGGCCACTGACTCTTTCTTAGACTGCCTCTGAATTTGCTCCCCATCAGTCCAGAGACTCCCTAGAAGGTGATCTGCCTGCCAACATTTCATGGACATATGTTTTTTACTGAGATGAGCCTGGTGGCCTCCTTCCTCTAGGAAGGTCCAGACAAGTGCCAACTTCTCCACGGGCCTGAAAGCAGGTTGCCACGGCAGCAAGGGGAAAGCAGTGGTGACACAAGTAAGGACTGGATGTCACTGCCTGCCTCAGAAAGGGCTCTCAGCACAAAATGGCATTTCCATCATCAGCTGGGCTCAGCTGCTTAGCCTAATAAAGGGTATAAATGCACACATTCAAGTCAGTGCACAACTAGTGCAGATTCCAAAGACAAGTCATCACACTGCATGGCTGGGCTAGGAAAAAATAAATCCCAGGACCCATCACACTCTGAGCAAGCTTCCTTGGCACACTTGCGTTATGGTGCATGGTGGACCCTCTATACTGCAACCTTTGTGCCACGTTCTGGGATGGAAGTTTTATAATGACTATTCTGCAGGACCAAACCCAGCATGCCATTTGCTGCCATTCTGTCCTCATGTCTCATTTCCCTCTTCTTTCTTGTCCCTGGGGAAAGACTTAAGCAGTGGGAGTTGCAATGGAACAAAAGAATGTGGGATGAGACAACAGAGAATGAACTTCTAATCATACATTCCCAACAGTCTCCCACGCACTAACTGTTCTCACGGGAGACAGCAATAACAAGACATGGCCTGACCATCTTATCTCAATGACGTGGCAATTTTATGAATTAAGGTAAGATCACCGTACAAACTCTATCATCATCTCTAAAAGCCATGCCTCTTCTGCCCAGCTAGGGCCATAGATGGAAATCCCAGCAAGAGTCATCTGGTTCTGACACTAAGGAAGCAAAGGATATTTTGTAACAGTCCACATTTTGTCTTCTTCCAACATGGTCTTAAGGTGTGTCTGAGGCCGAACTCACACCCACAACATAGCCCAGGCTGGCCTCAAATTTGTGACCTACTGCCTCAGTGTCCCAAGTACCGGGAATATAGGTAGGCCTATGTCAGCAAGCCAGCCTGACAATCTGTCCAGCTTATAGACTACCAGTGTGGGAATAAAACTTCAGCTTTACCAAAAAAAAAAAGATGTGTTATTTGAAAATAAACATTTAATCCATTTCAAAATGATTTCCAACTTACTCCATTTCTACTTGGTAATGACTTGTAGCAGCCCCCCATCTGCAAAACCGTAAGCAGTGGTGGCAGGTACAATAAAGGGTCATTTCCACAGTGAGAAATGACCACCACGTCACAGCCACGTGCAATAGGAGGCCAAGAGTAAGATGCAGTGTGGCTGGGTCCCGGGAACTTGTTTCTTTGAAGAGCCTACACAGAAAATGGTGGGGAATGGGGAAGAGAAAGATGAATGACAGCAAAGAAATCCCTCTCTCATAGCCCCCCACCCCACCAGGAAATAGTGCACAGCTTATGGGGCTTACTTACTGCTGTGATGCCAAGACCTACTCTAGGTTCTGCGTGAATTTTTCCCAAGCACTGAATTCCTGTTTTCAGACTACTGGTTCTCTGAACGCATTAAAGTATATACTGAGTAGCCACCCCTCTGACTGGAGGACTAAAGCACACGTAAGAAGGTGGCTTTGTTTCCTTATTCTTTTCATATTCTGCCAGCCCATCTGCCTCACTTGTAAAAACTATTCTTCATTTGATTTTTGAGACAAGGTCTTGCTCTATAGCCAGGCGGGCCCCAAACTCTCCGTTTGTTTTTCTTTTCTCATTTCATGTGTATCGTTTTGGCTGCATGTACTGTTTGTGCAGCATGTTCACGGAGTGTCTGTGCCGGACAGAAGAGGGTGCTGGAAGCCAAACTCAATCTGCAAGAGCAGCAAGCTCTCCAGCCCCAAAATCTTGACCCTCCTACCACAGTTTCCCAGGGGCTGTGATTACAGACGCATGCCACCCACCCCACCTACCTTAACATTTAAAAAGAAAAGAAACATGCTTTTATTGACATATTAATCTCTTCACCTATCACTAAAACCTGAAATGTTTCAGCAGAAGTCTGTAACCAAATACAATTTTCTAAAAGGCACTGAGTGCTGTGCGATTCTCCTCCCCAAGGTCCTGAGTTTCCAGCAGAGCTGATCACGTGATCTTCATTCCTGACAGTCTTGTGGAGAAGAGACAGACTTTAGTAGCTTTCGGACATGAGGTGAAGGAAACGAGACTCTGACAACCTGCAAACACCTTTCTGCCCAGACAGCTCACAGAGAGCACAAGTGTAGACCTGTCTGTAGGGCTGGAAGGACTGCATGCTCAAGTCCCCAGACCTACCACTGGGTGCAAGCCTGAAGTCATTCTGAAACACGACTGAGGCGGGACCACTTTTTAACAGCTCTCTTGACCTCTGTATCTGAGTTCAGCTGAGTGACAGCCACTTGGTTAACTGCTCTGCTCATTCAGCCCAGCCCGATTTGACTGTCAGCATGAGGAGTCACATCACTGTCACTCCTCGGAGAATCTCCTTCCTGCTTCCTTTTCTCTTGCATTCTAATTTCCAGTTACTGGACCAAGTTCAACCCTGAACTTTATTCTACTTTCATCCTTGTTCGTTCAGTTTGCTTGCATTTTATACCTCACACCTACTAGTTATAAAAATATTCTCACTCTATTTTCCAAATCTCCCTTTCATTCTAACTTTGTATTCTGAGATAGTTTCATGTAACTCAAGCTGTCCGTCAATTTCTGTTCTTCCTGTCTCTACTTCCCAAGAACTGAGATTACATCACTTCCCCCTTAAAGTCTAAGGGTTTTACTTCTTGTACGTTAAGCCATGAATTCATAGGAGCGGATGGTGCAGCTCAGCTCTTTTCTATTATCTCTCACAAGCTACTTCTGCAGGGGGAGCAGGCTGGAGCCACAGCTGAACCCAGATATTCTCGCTGGCTTCCACTCCCCCCTCATTTTCCTGTACCTGTTTCAAGAACCAACCAGCTCTCCAGAATGCTTAATATGTTCAGGACACATATTGACACGAACTGTGCTTGTTTACAACAGTGCCAACAGCATGCTGAGCGACCCTGCAGCCTCCTGGTTCGCTGCACTAGTACTTACGGGGCATTCCCTTATGTCTACAGTATGACCCTTTTTGTAGATTTGCCTGCTTCCTAGAGGACCTGGAGAACATAGTGAGTGAGCAACAGCTTCAGTTCCCTAGAAGGCCTGGGGACACATCCAGCAGTCAAGTGGTCCTCCTCTCCTTTTGTGTCTGTCACTATGGCCAGCTACAGCAAAATCCTTGGTCCAGTTGAAAGGAAACCCCACCTCCAAGAACACAAACACAAACAAAACCTTGTTACTGTGAAGTAGAGGCAATATCTTCTTCTGTCTCTGGGACAGTTTTCTTTTCCAGAAATCAAGTCTCATTCTGCTGAACATGCTGATTTCAAAGTTCTGAGCTCAAGGACTCCTGTGTCTCATCCTGTCAAGTCCCTGGACTGCAGGCCATAGCACTTCCCCCAGTGATGTGAACTTTCTGGCAGTCTCTTCTCCCTGAACTGCATTTGGTTTTTTAGGTGAAGGATTATTATCAACATATCTATGATTACCAGTTTGTTCACATGGAAGAGACACTGAAAGTCAGCAAGCAGCTCAAAGGGTGAGACACATCTTGTCATCAGGCTACTGCCGGAAGACAGGGTGGCAAGCAGGCATTCTGACTGGGGCAATTTCAAACAGCAGCATGAAATGCTCTCCAGAAAGTGACTCGAGCCACCCCTCCCCCTCAGAACAACACAAACTGGTAGTGCACAGTCAAGAAGCAGACTGGGGACGTTTACTGTCCACCTGCCTTTCCTGTCTTAGTCAGCCACGCTGCCACCTGTCCACCTTCCTGAGACCTGTACAATCTCTTCCCTGCTCCAGACCTCACAACCTTTCAGCAGTCTGTCCATCCTTGAGGTTTGGCTTTCTATTATTCAAAACCAAACCTTAACCTTTTTAAAAGTCAGGATGGAAACGTAAGTGTATGTAATTGATTTACCAAGTGAAATCTAAGGATTATAAAAAATTTTGGCAAAGGATGGATACAAAAAATTATTACTCTGACCTGGCAATGTGTTCTAAGCTCCCATTTGAAAACTTACTTCAGCTGGGCGCTGGTGGCACACACCTTTAATCCCAGCACTCAGAAGGCAGAGGAAGGCAGATCTCTGTGAGTTAGAGGTCAACCTGGTCTACAGAGCGAGTTCCAGAACAGGCTGCAAAGCTACACAGAGAAGCAATGCCTTGAAAAACCAATGAATGAATGAATGAATGAATGAAAATAAAAACTTACTTTAGAAAAGCTGGGCATGGTGGTGGTTCACACCTTTAATCCCAGCACTCAGGAGGCAAAGGCAGGCGGATCTCTGAGTTCAAAGCCAGTCTAGTCTACAAAGCGAGTTCCAAGACATCCAGGGCTACACAGAGAAACCTTGTCTCAAAAAAACCCAAAAACACTTATTTTAGAAACAGATTGACAATTTCACAACAGGCTTTTTTACAAAAGAAATCTGGGCTTAAATACATGAGAAATAAATCACAAAGATTTCAAGAGAATTTCAGAGGCAAGAATTATACAATGCAACCTTAGAACTGTTTATTCAAAATCCTCCTATGGGATTGGGAAATATTGATAAAATGCATGCCTAGGATGCACGAAACTCTGGGTTCTAGCCCATTGCTCTTAGAACAGAACAGAGGAAAACAAAGCGAAACCTCCTGTGTCAGAAAGGCTGGGCTTCCTTCAGGAGTCTGGCTCTAACAACACATTCACCTTCTTCACGTCTGCTGACAGAGGGGATTTCTCCAGGGTCAGACAGGGCTCGATCCTGTTCCGGAGTACCACACCAGGCTGTAGTGTGCCCGACTTCACCTTCTGCAACTAACCAACAGACATCAGACAACCATAGCCAGGTCTTTCTGGAGTGGGCAGTAGAGTATTAAGGGCTTTTCCCCAAGAGGAAAGCACAAGGTCATGTAAAAACCGAGGAATACATGCTTCCTGGAAAACACATACCCCCCCCCCCCACAATAAAACACCCACTACAGCCATAGCTCTATAGATTCTACTAAAGCCATGACTTGGGAAAGCCCCATCTAAGGAAGACAAAAGTCTGAGGGAGGAAGGAAGCTTTAATAACACTAAGTGTCTGTCTTATTTGGCCTTTCATTTTTAGGGTGTGTAATACCTGCTGCAGGTCAGAGGTCTCATCAGCTCTCAAAGGATCAGGGTTTAAAAACTGTAGTAATCTGTAAAGCAGGTAAAAGGTCAATTTGAAGAGGAAAGTCATTACATTTTCCCTGTTTTAACTGTTCCCTGTGTAGAGAAACAGTGGTTGTCCACCTCAAGGCTTATCTGTGAAAACACGTCTTGATGGCCTAAGATTCAAGGGCCATGGAGATCACATCAGTTTCCTGCTTCCCACCCAAAACTTGGGCTGGCATCTGGGCTACCACCCCTGCCACCAACATCCTATACAGTTGTCTGAAAGGGGCCCAGCTAAAGTCAGATCCACTGGTCTAATCATGAGCTTTGTTTTATAGTCAGAAAATATCAGAGAAGGACTTGTCCTCTGCTTATGCAGAAAAGGAGTTTGAAAGCGCTTTTCGTTATACCCAGACCTATCACTCCTCAATATGGGTAAAGGATTCGTGACAGCATCAGAGAAGTCACACCATTTTAAGCTGTAACTAATTGGGTAAAATACAGGTCTAAATTTAACATGTATGTCTAATTTAAAAATAACTAACAGGTAATGGTACCCAATTCTCAAGTGCCTTTACAGCTCTGAGAGTATGGCACTTAACAAAAGAACTTCTAACACAGAGACATGTCAGCTCCTGCAGCATCCTATAGCTCCTCCAAGAAGATGCATGGTTGCAAAAGACCTTCCAACTGGAGACTTGCCTTTGCATATGGCAAAGCCACCCATACAGCAAAAAGCAGCCTTCCACTTCATCAGCTTCCTGGACACTACACCGGGGTATGATTGTCTCATCCTGCCAAGACAGGTAGATAAAATCTCCCCCCATCCCCACAGAAAAATTTTCAGGCCTCCTGGACTCAGCAGCTAACAGCAAGTACTGCTTCTAAGGCTGGTGTTCTCCAAAGACTAAGAAGAGACTTGGGATTGCCTGCATAGCTAAAAAACTGGTGTGCCTATGAAGGCATTTTGATGCAATCAGCATATTGAACTGCAACTAAGGAGTGGTAATTTTGTTTATTCTCTAACAAATAAAGCTTGTCTGAAGATCAGAGTGCAGAGCGAAGCCACTAGTTAGCCACAGAGGCAAGGCAGTGGTGGCACAGTTTTAATCCCAGCATTCAGGAGGCAGAGTAAGATGGATGTCTGTGAATAAGGTGAGCCATCCACTCTCCGACACCCATACCAGATACCTTAACCAATTATCAAAGTCCTCAGTATATCTGGTCTCAATGTCAAAATATTCTTTAAAAAGAATGCTACAGGGAGCCACTACCAACAAAACTGAGTAGAATCTCATTCCACATATATCCAAACGTGGCAGATGAAGTTGGAAAGAAATTATGCTTTTTAAGCCTAATTTAAGGTTCTTGGCATCAAGAGACACCCTCAGAGGAACTGAATGGGTTCTACTCAACACCTAAAAGTCCCTAAAAGAGAGCTATCTATTGTGTTGCAGTTTCTCACAGACTAAAATGTTCATCTTGGAAGAAAGTTTATTAAGATATAAGAAGTTACAGGGAGTTGAAACAACAGGGAGGAAGCTTCAGGACACAGAATTTTTACAGGCAGATGAAATGAAAGGGTGTTTTCTGGGAAGCTGAAACACTCCATCTTTCAGGGACTGTCTTAGGGTTTCATTGCTGTGAAGAGACAAGACCACGGTAAGTCTTATAAAGAAGACATTTGATTGTGGTGCTCTCTTACAGTTCAGAGGTTTATTCGGCCATTGCCATCATGGCAGGAAGCAAGGCAGCATGACAGCAGACATGGTGCTGGAGCCGAGAGTTCTTACATCTTCATCCAAAAGCAATAGGAAGTGAACTGAGTGTCACAGTGAATGAAGTTTGAGCATATGAGACCCCAAAGTCTATCCCCTACAGTGACATACTTCTTCCAACAAGGCCACATCTACTCCAAAAAAGCCATACTTCCTAATAGTGTAACTCCCTTTGGGGGCCATTTTTCAAACCATATGGACACAATTCAGAAAGTAACAACTCAAAGGCTTCAAGAATTCCTTGAAACTGACCAGATACAGTTGGCTCCCCTCCCCAAGCATAAATAAGCTAGAAGGATAAAGCAAGAGGTGATATGAGAGCTACAAATTGCGGAATGCCTTTACTGTGGGGACACAAAAGGAAATACGATTCAGAAGGAAACACAGACTCACAAAAGGAAATGGGATTCAGAGGGAAACACAGACTCACAGAATACTGGACAAGGTGGAAGCCACTGTGTCTCGTTGCTCTGCCCCAGGGAGATATGAACAACTACACAAGCTTGCTTCTGCTACAGCCTCCCAAGATTGTGAGTAAGACCCTTTCTCTCCCTTATAAGAGATCACATCTACACACAGAAGCCATGCTGTAAAGCTGGTACCCAGAAAGCTGTTGGCAGAAAGGAGTTCCCACAACACTTCTCCCTTTTATCTAAATAAAAAGGTTCTAAACCTAACACAAAACTATATACAATAAGAACAAATATCAAGTATTGTCCAGGAGAAAGAAAAGGTAAAAACATACACAAAAATAGAACTACAGCCAACATGAACAACAACAAGCAAGAAACACACTAAGTGTCCAGTCTATAGGTAACAGGCAAATAAAAGATTATTCCAATAGCTGTCCTATCCTGAGGAGTCTAAGTCTTGTACCTGAAATATCTTAGCTAATATATAAGAGGATAGTAGCTGTGACTATCTAGTCTTCAACCTCAACAAAGATCCAAGAAGGAAAATTACTGAGTTGGCAGGAAGTACAAGCAAGTAACTTCCAAAAGGTACAAGATATGACAGAAGCAGCTCACTGTAACGTTGGGACAACCAACTTTGGCTAAGGACTAGAGTATCTTACAAACCATTTTCAGAAGCAGGAAACTTCAAAGGACTGTCCTACCCTGTCTTGGCAAGGTTCAGTAGTCATTTTTGCTTATATCCCGTTTGTCCAGCATATTGTCAGTGGTCAAGGGCATTCTTTACCCAAAAGGCCAGTTTTGCCAAGAAAAAAGAAGCTCCATGTCTCTCTGGACTAGACTGGCGCTGCCAGGAGCAATGGGGTCTCATGTCAACAGAATCCTGAGTTATGTAGTCACTGAAGGAGTAACTGCCAGAGCATTACCAGTAAGCCACAGCCATGTGGTGATACACAGATTAACAGAAATGGGTTAATTTATAGGTAGAGCTGGCCAGTAAGAAGCCTGAGCCATTGGCCAAACAACTGCAATTGCTATTGAGTCTCTGGTTATTTCATAAATGTCTGTGGGGACCCGTGAGCAGGAAAGAAACTGGTCCAGGTGGGGACAGAGAAAAACCTTCAGTTACATTGGCGTCCAAACGTTTGACAACAATTTCCACATAAAACCTGAGAGAGCTTTAAGAAAGGTTCTAAAATGGAGCCAAGACCAGCGGTAACCCTGGATGAAGGTTGGTTCCTTCTGGATATATTCATCAAAGCCCTTGTACATCAGCTCAAGTCCAAGGGCCTCATGAGCAGGCAGCTTAGTTGTACTGTTTGGCACTTCTTTGGTTATTTTATGGCTTCTATACAGGGCTTCGTGTCCTAAGAGTAGTGCCGTCTGGAAGCATTTGTAGCCTTGTTCTTCCTTCTTTCAAAGGCAAGTCTGGGTTGATGTAGACCAGCCATTCTTGCTCTCAGGATTTTCACCAGCTGCTGGCACTTCTTGAGGACAAGCATTGCCAGAGATTTGCTTAGAACCAGACAGCATCCTTGTACTTTTCTTCTTTGAAACAGAACTGTCATTTTGGTCATAAGTTTCCTCTTCCATGAAATCGGCTGTATGATGTGGTCTTTGCAGCACACTTTGTCCCAGACCCGCCAAGCTACCTGCTGCTAAATCCTAACACTGCTGCTGAGATTCAGGAGGCTCTCCTGGTGCCTTAGTGCTCCCACTGGGGGGGGGTCTAAGCCACACTGAGAAAACCTATCCCTTTTTTCCAGTCAACTTACAACAGATCCACCTTCTGGGCCACCAATCATGTGGCCTTCCAGCCATCAGTGGCAACTGGTGAATGATCCTTTGCAGTTATCTTAAATCCTCCCTGAGTCTCTGGTACTCTTGGAGGTGTAGGTACCCACCTCTGACCATTTCCCTTGGGCAAGGCTTGGTTTTTGCCTTCTGGTTTCATTCAAAAGTCCTGGCACCAGGCACCTGTGTTTCCTTGGGTTTTTAGCCCTAGCCCCTGAAGCATGTGTTGACAACCCACTGTTCAGTTTCTCCATTTGTTCCTCCCTAAGTCTTGGGATGCCATGGACTTCAGGCCTTGGACCTCTCCTTCTACCTGTCTTCTGGAGATGCTCCTTACTTTACACCTAGAGGCAGACTTAAGGGTCTCAAGACTTACTTGTCTTGCAGTTGACTCTGGCCTTAATACCCCTTAGATAAGTAATCCAAATGTGACCGACTAACAGTGCCCTACATTCCATTATTACCTAGGACCCTTACAAATACTGAAAGCAATTGAAACGAAAAAAAGAACTGCCATTCCCTATTTCTTTTTCCTTTGCTTGAAGCCCTGTTTTGGTCTGGTGTAAAAATCAGGCCATAGTTTTTACTTTCCTAGAGCTACTACTATGTCTAGAGAGTTTACCTTGCTACCAGACTCCAAAAAGAGATAAACTCACAAAACAGACTTCAAAGTAACTTTTTACTATTTCTTTATTTGAAGGAACTTGTTTTACAATGACTGCGCTCAGTAATCCACCACCTGTGTCATGATGAATGACTGGATAGATAAAAGGTGCGAAGTTTCAAGTTTAAGCTATAAGGATCTGTCTTAATTAGGGTTTCTAACTGCTGTGAAGAGAACACCGTGACCAATGCAATTCTTTTTTTTTCATTTATTTATTTATAAAAATTTCCACTTCCTCCCCTCCTCCTACTCCCCCCACTCCCTCTCCTCCTCCCTCTCCAGTCCTAAGAGCAGTCAGGGTTTCCTGCCCTGTGGGAAGTCCAAGTTCCTCCCAGCTCCCTCCAGGTCTAGGAAGGTGAGCATCCAAACAGACTAGGATCCCAAAAAACAAGTGCATGCAGAAGAAACAAGTCTCAGTGCCATTATAGGTCCAAATGAGAAGCAGAAGGAGGGAGAACGTGAGCAAGGAAGTCAGGATCAGAGGGAACCTTCATCCGATGATGGATGGAGATAGAGACAGAGACCCACACTGGAGCACTGGACTGAGACCCCAAGGTCCAAATGAGGAGCAGAAGGAGAGAGAACATGAGCAATGCAATTCTTATACAGAAAAAACATTTCATTGCGGCTGGCTACAGTTTCAGAGGTTTAGTCTGTAATTCTGATGAGAAGCATGGCAGCATGCAGGCAGACGTGATGCTGAAGAAGTAACAGAGTTCTACATCTTGATCTGCAGGCAACAGAAGTGAACATTGTCCCACACTGGGCATTGGTTGGTCATATGAGACTTTAAAGCCCACCCCCGCAGTGACACACTTCCTCCAACAAGGCCACACCTCCTAATAGTACTACTCCCTATACGCCAAGCATTTATGAGTCCACAGGGCTGGACCTATTCAAACCACTACAAGAGCTAAGAAAATGTTTTAAGGTCTAAGAAGTTGTTTTAAGGTGTGTAAATGCAAGTCATATAAGGTCAGAGGACATGTAAGCTTAAGTTATGATAAAGTGATTTAAGGTATATAAAAAGAATGAAAAATGCTTCCGATTTCTTTCCCTCCATATGCCAGCACTGTATTAAGACTTAAGCTCAGCGTTCTAACATTAATTCAATGGAGTTCTGATAAAGTGCTCATCTACCCCTGGTTAAGTGCGGATGATTATTATCAGTCTCAAGCTCAAGATTTTAAATTTCCTTTGGTTGTCTAAGTATAGACTTAAAAGTGCTTCTCTTTGTGCGAAAAACATCTATAATCTATATAAGTCCAGTCTTCTGAACAGAGAGAAAGGAGGCCCAGCTGTCAAGATCTATGTTCATACTGAAAATCAAGATCAAAAGTGAGCTTTTGCCTTTCTGCTCCACAGGAGGCTGCTATCCTCTTTAAGCTCATGTTTTTAACAGCAACAAAACCCCCCACATGTATTATTTTTGTGCATGTTTATCTATGAAAGTGCAGAAATCAAAGAATTATTTGAAGCAATCAGTTCTCCCCTTCCATGATGCAGGAGCCAGGGATTGATGATTGCTTGGTGGCAAGCACCTTTATCCGCTGAGTCATTCTACCTGCCCTGTTCTGTCATCCTCATAGGTTTAGGGACTGAAGAGCTACTGCTTTTCTTGAATAACCTTTGCTCCAGTTGGGTTTTAGGCCAATAGTTTTGTAATAATCTTGGTTTTGGCTTTTCAAGACAGGGTTTCTCCACAGCTTTCAAGCCTGTCCTGGAACTAGCTCTTGTAAACCAGGCTGGCCTCAAACTCACAGATCTGCCTGCTTCTGCTTCCTAAGTGCTGGGATTAAAGGCGTGCACCACCCGGCTGCAATAATCTTTGTAAACCTGTCCTGACTTCCTGCAGTGATGGACTATAATGTGGAAGAGTAAGAAGCCAAACAGACTCTTTCCTCCCCAACTTGCTTTTGGTCACGGTGTTTCCTCAGAGCAACAGAAGCCCTGACTAGGACACTGACGTTCTTCAGCTCTTTTACCTGCAGGCTCCCTGGAATGCACAGCTGACAAGTCACCCAAGTTAGCACTGTACTTCCTACCAATCAGGACTAAGCAAAGAGCACTGAGCAAGATAGTAGGGAAGACAAGGCTTTACAATAGAGGCATGAAGGAGCATAGAGTTTGTCAGAATTCACTCAATTATCAGCTCAAACTAAATTACAGTTTCTAAAAAGTTACTTGTCCCAAGGAGAACAGTCACTTAGAGCAGTAAAAACATCAGGCATGAGGCAGGAGAGATTCTCTGGGAGGGAATATTAACCACTAGCCCCACTGTGAACCCCACACCAGCCTTCAACACACTTGATTCCTGAACACTGAGGTGCTTGTGCTAGTCAGAGGCCATACAGGGCATGGGTGACTCTGGAAGGTGTCAGCAGGCTATCACTGCTCATGAACAGAGACAGCATGGGCACCATGCTAAGCTGTTAGTCTGCTAATTACAGAGCAGTCAGGTTCTCACAGGTAAACTGTTTCAGCTGGTAGAGTCTAGGGGAAAAGGCAGAAGCATGGTCTCAGTTTTGTGTATTTAACAAGCATCAAATGAGGTTACTCTGCTGTTAGAGAGCAGGAGGTGGTCCCATCTAACATCAGAACACTGGGAAAGAAACCAAACATCAGCCCACCAAAATCAATGGCCATAAAAAGTATACAACTGTACCTAACAGTTTAAAAACTGTCCACCCAGCTGAAGGAACCAGAGCGAGAATAACCCCTTACAACAGAACCGAGATTTAACACGCCCCCCCCCCCGACACAGCTACAGGGGACTTCCTGGATATTTACTGTTTTTATGAGAATGGAAGTTTGAAGTAAAAATAAAGGCATATTCTTCCTGCTTCTTTTTATACAATTATTTCAAAAACCAATTCAAGTCAGAGGAAAACCAAACCAAACAAACCAATTCCACCCAAGTGAGCGAGCAAGCTGGGCCTTACTTTACACAGCCATTCTTCTCATCACAGTCTTTCTTCTCTGTCAACCGCAGCAGCTTCTCATTTGGTTTCTGGCTAAACCTACTGGAAACCAAAACACATGAAAAGATTAATTCACAAGTTAATAGAGGCAGCTGTCACTGCTACTGGTGGCCCACTAGAGCCTAGGTAAGACCCTGCTGTTGAGGAAACCACTGGTCTCACTTGCAAGACACAGAAACTGTTGGAGGTCAGGGCCCTGTCCTTGTCTTTGTGCCCCATGCCCCCACCCCATGAAGCTTTCTGACAACTGGCGGCTAGCCTTTAGCAAAAAAAAGAAAAAAAAAAGAAAAAAAACCCAAAAAACACTAGGCAGAGTGCAATTCTTGGTGGAACAAAGCAACCCAAAAGGAGCAGGCAGCCTGCAAAGACTGCTGCGGTAACCAGGAATGAACAGCAATTTCTTTACTAGTTTCCTGACCCCTGCAAAGGCAGAGAGTACCTGATTGTGAACTTCTTGCAAATACTGTTGTTGGCTCAGACTTCTTCCCCCTCCCTCCACCAGGCTTAGCATCTCTTTCCTGATCATTCTATTTCTCATTTCCCACATCCAATCAAGACCCAGAAGGCAGTAATATAAATTCAGTGTGCTGGGGCTTTGAAACCAGAGCAGCTGTAGGAGCTTAAAGAGGGAGAGGAGAAGACCCTAGGGTCCAACTGCTCGGACTCCTTTTCCCTTAGAGTAAGAAACCTGCAGACTTCAGAGTCCAACTCCCAGCTGGCTCACCCATCAGTTGTCTTCCAGACTTGCCAAGGACAAACTAAGGCTTCCCCCCTACGCCCCACTCAGCAAGTTTCCAGTCATAGGACTCATTCCTGCCCTGGCGTGCCTCCAGCACTCATGGTACCCTGCTGTGGAAGGGAATTCCTCCATGAAGCTTCTTCCACCTTCCAAGACCCACTGCTCCAGATTCCAGCCACACCAACTTGCAGCTTCAGAGGTACCTGACTATGACCTGTTGGAGACACAAGACTGGTCCTCCTGCTACGCCCGCCCCACAGACCTGCTCTGTCAAGAAACAGCTCTCAGCTGGTATTCCAAGGCTCTCTGAGAGCCCCAGAGTTGAACTACTTGTCTAAACTGCAGTGGCTCTCAGCTAGCGCCCACCTGCTACTGGGAGTTTCAACGTTTCATTTAAATTTTAAGTTGTTTTTATCCTGTTTCAGGAAGTTAATCTTGAATTGACAAAGTGCCTCCCTATTTGTATTCCTTACAGTTTGCCTACTCCATTCTTAGAGAATTACTTGACAAGAACCCACTTAGAGACAGAAGAACAGTTTCCACTGGTTACTTCAATGCATTCCTTCAAGCTAGGACTGGGGTGAGAACTTTTATTCAAATTTGTTCAAACCACACAGATAGCTCTTTTCTGGGGGAATTCTAAGCAGCAGCAGTAAGGAAGCACTTAATCTTCCTAGATACATTTCTGTGAGGACAGAGGCTTAGCACTAACTACGGAATCTTGCCTGGTGCTGGTCACACAGCCTCTCTGCTGCTGAAACTGGTTTATGGTCAGGGACCAAGGCAATCATGGGGTAAGTAACGACCTGGGAACAAACAGAATTCTGGAGACTGCTTTACTGTTCCCTTCCTCGATCAAGCTGAGGGCACCCTGGATGCTGAACTGTACAGCAAATATAGTGGTCAAGACTGCCCTGCCAAGGCAGAGACAGGAGGCAGGGTCCCCTGGCCCAAGCATGGGCATTTCTACTTGTTTTCTTTTTGTCTCCGTTCTCTTCCGGTCCTACCCCAGGGCCACATTCAATCTTGGTAACTCCAACACTGCAGTTATCAGCAGTGAGTCCTAAGTCACAAAAGAAAACCCATCAACTGAGCTCAGGAGTCCCTGGCTGAGCACAAGCATGCCAGTCCCAGCCACTTACCAACGTCCTACAAAGACCTGGCATTGCAGTCAGTCATAGAAAGTGAGACAGCTTTCCTGTAATGTCACTGATATTACTGTGTGCATCTTAAGGAAGACAGGGTTACAGCTGGAGACTTGGGAGAAGGCAAGAAGCCATCCTTCACTTTCTCCAGATTTGTAACCTGCCAGTCTATGCTGCTGTGGCCACACTTAATCATCCTTCACACAGCCACTCTGTGCTGTTCTCTGGAGGTGCCTTACAGATACAACAGTATGCAGTCAGGCAACAACGGGATTCTAGACCTACTGCCAGTTTTCAGTCCACTCTGTTGCCAGCTAATCAACTATAAAAAGATATTTTTTTCCTTTAAAGTAGTGTATTTTGAACCAAAATTTCCCAGACCACATTCTTTTTTGGGGGTGTGTGGTATGTCTATCAAACTTTTACATACTTACTGTACATGTGACCTTCTGTATTTGTGGACTCTACAGTTGTGCAATTAACCAGCCAACCAATGACTGGAAATATTTGGCAAAAACAATTGCCTGCATTAAACATGTAATTTTTTTCCTTGACATTATTCCCCAAACAATACAGAATAACAACAACTTATATAGTATTTACATTGCACTGGGTAGGTATTAGAAGCCATCTAGAGATGACTTAAAATATACACGAAAATGTGTGATGGTTATATATAACCATCATGCCACTTTTTAAAAATCTGGATCTGAGCACACACAGTTTGATATTCCCAGTAGTCCTAGAACTGAGCCCCCCAAAGCTAACATGTTGACTATGTACTATCCTAAGGCTCTAGTTTGCTAAACTGAATTTTCAAAACATACCTTGCTGCTGGAATATCTGGATCAGCATATATAGTTATACCTCTTTTTGTTGGCCAGTATGCTGAAGATTCAATACCCTGTAAGAATGGAAGGAAGGGGAGAAGGTGGGGCAGATGATTTATATTTTTGGAATGAAAATATAACGGAAATTATTTTTCATCACAATCATTCCAGAGAGTTTCTATGCATGCGTGCGCACATATACACACATACACACAGAGAATCAAAGCTGGATGGTTATGCCATCACTATAATCATTAGATCAAAATGTCAAACAGCAGGTAATCGGCATTCGCATGAGTGTTTAAAATGTCTTACCATTACTTTCATTTGTCTTTTTTGAAAGAACTGAAAGGTACATTAGAAGTGAAATTATGTGAATGTTTCCCAAGTCTAGACAATCATACATCCGTGTTCAAGGAGCAGAACACCACCTTTTCGAGAGCAGTTACAATTCAGCAGAAACAGAAGCTCAACAAGGGGGAGCAGCTACCTTGTTTCATCAAACACACACACAACTACATTCTTCATGAATTTCTATGTATGAAACACACTTTTTGTTCAGAATAGAATATTCATATCATATGAACTTTATATTTGGTGAGCATCAAACATACAACCTCGTTCATGTGTTTTAAAGGGGGGCACTGTTGTTTCTTCTCAAATAGGACTTTAGGCGAGTCTCTCATGGAATCCTTATATTTTACAGCTTTATCTGCAAAATGAAGATAAAAAGTTACCTTGTAAACTATATAAAATCAGACAAAAATAACAAAAAACAAACACTTATAAAACTGCAACACATGAATTATTATCAAACAGGTTTATACTAAACTTGTAGGGATTAAAATTAAAAATCTGCTTTGGGACTGACAAGACAGCTCAATAGGTAAAGGCACTTGCTGCCAAGCCTGCGACCTGCGTTTGGTCCCCAGGTCCTACATGCAGGGAGGATGGTCTCTATCCTCCACGGCACTCCATGGCATAGTATATCCATTCACATGCACACATACATGCTAAATAAACACAATCCAAACATTTTTGTGTCAATCTTTTTTTTTTAAGGTTGTAGAAATTCACAGACCAGCTTACTAAGAATAAAATAATGTTTCCAATTTGGTAGGCTATACTTTCCAAAGGAGGCCACAATTATGTATCCAATACACATGCTCTTCCTACAGTGTATAGGACAATGCAACCCCACCCAGGGAAAAAAAAAAAGAAGGAAGGAAGGAAGGCAAACTGAGCTCTAATTTACAAGAAGCCAGCTATTTGGGAATTTAAAAAAAAAAAAGGAACTGCCCTTGACCCCTTGACCCAAACTCCTGGAGATTGCAGAAGCAATCAGCCAGCTGGCTGTAGAGAGACAACAGACCCTGCAGTTTCAAACACAGCTGTCTAAGGAAACAGCTGACTGCCCATTCTGCCCCGAATAAAACCCCTTCCCCTTTCCTATCCTTAGCTACAGGAGCCCCAGCTTGAAACCTATACTCTGTATTGGGTAGAAGGGCCAGTCAAGGAAAACTGACAATCCCTAAGCAGGAAACCAACCAACCCCTGAGCACCCTGACTTTGAACCCAGAGCTAGTGAATGAAATATGCCCAGGATCTGAAACCTGAGTCAGTGAAAGAAACACTTTATCCCTGAACCCAGAACCAAAGAAACACACTGACTCTGAAACCAGTGTCAAACACACTTTGTCTCTAGAATCAGAGCCAGTGAAAGAAATATGCCCTGGTCCTAAAATTAGAGCCAAAAGGCTAAAAAGGACCAGTGAAAGAAACACAGTTTGGCCCTGAAGTCAGAGTGATCTCTGACCCTGACCAACTAAACTAACCAATCCCTGAGCAGGAAAACTCCCTGGGAAACCTCCAAGCCTAGTAAGACCTATATAAGCCCCTCTGCCTGTTCAGTTGTGGGCTGTCCTTTCCCACCCTGGCAGAGGCAGCCACTCTCCTTCCAAAATAAATCTCTTTCTCAAAAGAGTCTTGGGTGAAGATCTTCATTTGCCAGTGTAGAATAGAAGAACCTTGCTGGGATGTCCCTAGGTGGCTGAGCAGAAAAACCTTGCTGAGATGTTCTCTTAGGGGGCCTGAGCAAGATTGAGCAGAACAAAAGAACCTTACTGAGACAGATTGTCCCGTATACAGGCCATGCAAGGCTGAGCAAAAAAAAGTTTTTTTTATGATGGCCATCCCCCATCATACCCCAGTTTCAGGTAGCCTGGCTTCCCCACAAGTCAGGACACCTTTCCCTCCCAGACTGAGCTGTCCTATTGTGGCTCTCCTGTCTAGAACTGTCCTATTGTGGCTCTAGGTATAGCCTGGCTTCCCGATAAGTAGGAAAGTCTTATTGGGAGCTGTAATACACTTACTTTTTTTTATTCTGCATGGTCAGTGTGTAGGATCTGAGATGTCATCTCTCAGGTTAATTAAAGCTTCTCCTCTAGCTATTGACGTTACCTAAACTCTTGTCTTTTATTTCTTTTTACAAATTTAATTCTTATGCAATGTAACTGACTCTCACTAAGAGACAGAATCTATATTCCCATCCCACAGACCGGCATAGGAAATTCCAAAGTGGAAAAGCAAAGAGAAGAAAAAACTGTTTAAACAGAAATATCCAAGAACTATCTGTATCAGTGTGAGTGAGTCGCTTAAACAGAAATTTATTTTCTTTTATTTCTGGAGGCTGCAAGTCCAAGATCAAAGTGTTGGCCAATTTGAATCCTGGGGTGATGTCTTCCTGGTGTGCAAGTGCTGGAGAAGTCAGCTCTGTTTTTTTGTTTTTTGTTTTCCTCTTCTAAGCGCTCTTTTAAGTCTATCAGAGTCTGACCCTACCCTTATCATCACAGAACTTCTCATGAAGACCCTGCCTGCAGACACAGCCACATTGAGGGCAGGCCTGCAGCATATGAGTTCTGAGGACACAGAATTCAACCCACAACATAGTTTTTGAAAAGAGGAACAAAATTACTAAGACTCTTAACCAAGGGAGTGAAGGAAGGGAGATTAAGAGAGAAACAGGGAAAGAAGGAAGAGAAATGAAAGCAGGGCCATGACTACTGATTCATGGGCACCTAGAGGCTAATAAAGGATAGTCCATGTGTTTATGAGCATATCAAAAAATGTAAAGATAGTAAAATGAACAACTCTATGCTTACAATTTAATCATCTTAATCAGTGGTTCTCAACCTTCTTGATGCTGCGATCCTTTAATACAGTTCTTCATGTTGTGGTGACCCAACCATAAAATTATTTCATTGCTACTTCATAACTGTAATTTTGCAGCTGTTATGAACTGTAATTTAAATATCTGATATGCAGGATATATGATATGTGACCTCTGTGAAAGGGTCACAAAGCGGTAGGGACCCACAGATTAAGAATCACTAATCTAGATGAAGATTCCTTTAAAGACACACTTTTCCAAAACTCCCAAACAAAACAGAAATAGGGTATATGGATAGTAGGTCTTGAAGGAATTGAATTATTAGGAATGTTCCAAAAAAAAAAAAAGGGAACTAAATTGAGGTAGGTTCACTGAAGAATTCTACCAAGCATATCAGGAAGAAATGTCACCAACCCACAAGCTCTTTTAGAAGACAGAAGCAAAGCAAACACTTCCCAGCTCATCCTACAAGACCTTCACTGTTCTGATGCCCGAACCAGAAAGCATTTCAAGAAAATGAAGGCCCATTATGCCTTACAAACATAGACGTAAAATCTTTTCAAGATACTGACAAATCAAAAGCTATATAATAAATATCACTGAATAATAAGAAACAAGTCACACACTAGAAGAAAATAACTGCAAAAGATACATCTGATAAAAGACTATTACCAAAGCAGATGGAGAACACTTAAGGCCCAAAACAAAGAACCTACGTGAAATAGACAAAGATGGGCTGAGGTTATAAAGCTCGGTGGCAGAGCACAGTGAGGCCTGGGCTCACTCTCCAGGGCACTCAGAGTATGATTCTGTGCTGCCTATGAAAGAAACCAAACTGGTAGAACTCACCTAGTGCTGTAGCAGGTGGCCCTAGGTCACTGACAACATTCTTACACCATGTATGCCGGAGAGACTGTGCCAGAAAACCTAAGCGCTGTGAGTCTGAAAGAACATACTATATTTCAAAACTAAAACACAAAATAAAAACGAGTCCTTATGATTTACTTCTGCTCTTGCTTATGCAGTAAAATTATAGGAGACCTAGCAAAGGATGGCAGTCTGAGGGATTAAAATCTAATGCAGAGAGGAACATTTAAAACTGCATCCACGAACCACACTAAGCATCATTTGTGATAAAAAAAAAAAAAACTCTCTGAAGTGTCTGAAACTATTCAGAACCTCACGTTGCTGAGATCTTTAAACCACATACTATCTGGACTTCTGAAAATGTCGCCAGAATGTCTCCTGAACACAAACAGCAGCAGCTCTAGGGCCACAGTACCTGCCAGAGGCTAAGTAGTAAAATTTGATTATTAAACTGAGTCTAAGTCTGATCCAAGTAGGAAAGGGCTTAGACAGAACTTGGTATGCTAAGGATAAGCAACATGAAATACTCACTTTCCATTCCACGATGGTCTTTCCCTTGCAAAAGCATTGGCCACAGAGTAAGTGATGGGCTGAGCTTACTGCAGGACACCGAATTGAGACTGGGTCTGGGCTTCTCCAACATATTGAGGTTTTTATTCCCCATGGGTGACACATAATAAGCAAAGTTCTTTGCGACCAGATCATCATTTACACAAACCTATAAAAATGTAAACATTCCATGAATTACTATTCAAATGGGTGTGGTCAATGTACACAAAGTTAGTATTTTAGACTCAGCTCCAAATTCCTGAAAAATGTTTTATGGAGCATAATCTGACAGAAACAGCTCTTGGTTTCTGGTATGTTAGCTATGACCTAATGATTTTCATGAGAAAATAGTAAGAAGTTGCATGAGATCAAGATGTACTGTGGAGGAAGAGGGAGCTAATTTCATCTGGCCAGGTACGGATTTGTTGGAAGGACACTAAGCATACAAGGGGAAATTGAAAAACTAGATCCTATCAAAACTTAATGCTTAGCCTGGCAGTGGTGGCGCAGACCTTTAATCCCAACACCTGAGAGGCAGAAGCAGGCCTGGTCTACAGAGATAGTTCCAGGACAGCCTGGCTACACAGAGAAATCCTATCTCAAAAACAAACAAACAAACAAAAACCAAATAGACAAACGAACAAAGATATTACATTAATAAGCTCTCACACAGTCACACAGAGGACGAGTGTTTACGAGAGACAGGGGACAGAGATGCAGTGACACGGATGTGTCGTGAATTACTGCACCTGAGTGAAAGGAGAGGATCCCTGTGCTCCCTTTGGGACCCGAGACGCGTTTGCTAGCTCACATGAGCAATTGTGACCATGTGCATCTAATAAACACCCTCTCTCTGCTATGGATGGACCCCTTGTTATCACCTCACTTCATCACTTAAAGTCAGAGTCAGCTATCAGACTATAACACATGGTACAAAAGAGGGGTCTGCTCTTTAAAAGCAAGAAGAAAGCAAGTTAATAGAGTGTTTGTTTTGAGACAGGGTCTCTCTGTGTAGCATCGGCTGTCCTGGAACTCACTCTGTAGACCAGCCTGGCCTCCAACTCAGAGATCTGCCTGCCTCTGTCTCCCATTAAAGGTGGGATTAAAGGTGTGTGCCACCACTGCCAGGCTAGAGAATGTATTCTAAAAATGTATTATGAGACTGATGTCAATATTCAGGCATCTGTACTGGCCTGCCCTTGGGGTCCTGACAGGATATGTGCTCAGCTGTAGCCACTAAGAGCACCTCCTGTGTACATTCGCTATGCTCCCTTTTAAAAGTGGGCCTTGCCCACCTCCTGTTTCTCTCTTTCTACCCTCCCCCACCAACACCCTTTTCTGTCCCTTCTCTCTCCTCTTCCAATAAACCTCCTATGGGAGCCCTGTTGTATGGCACAACTTCTCTTTGCATAGATTTTTAAATTAAAACAACTGGTCACCAGAATATAAAATAAGCAAAATGAAGGTCACTAGTGAACTCAGTCAAGATACGGGGAAGGAGTAGGACAGAGACTAATCCGAGCAGCTCCTGAGAACTCCATCTGGGCTGTACTAACAAGTTTCTTTCCCACAGGAATGCAGATTAGTAACTCTGTAATCCCTGTGGACAGATACTGGCATTGATAAAATAGCTGCCCTGTGACTAATGAAGAATAAGTTTCTCACAGTTCAGAGATAGTTGTGTAAGAATAAGGAAAGACGCCAGGTGGTGGTGGTGTACACCTTTAATCCCAGCACTTGGGAGGCAGAGGCAGGCGGATCTCTGTGAGTTCGAGGCCAGCCTGATCTACAAGAGCTAGTTCCAGGACAGGCTCCAAAGCTGCAGAGAAACCCTGTCTCAAAAAAAAAGAAAAAGAAAAAGAAAAAGAAAAAGAAAAAGAAAAGAAAAGAAAAGAAAAGAAAAGAAAAGAAAAGAAAAGAAAGACTGGATGGAGTGGCTCACGCCTTCAATTCCAGCACTTAGGAGTCAAAGGCAAGTGAATCTCTAGGAGTTCCCAGTCATCCAGGGCTACAAAATGAGACCTTGTCTCAAATGCAAAAAAAAAAACAAAAACAAAAACGTGGTAGACCTAGAATCTCTGACGCAGCAATAAAACAAGAGAAAAAAGATGCAGAAAGGCCAAAAATAAAAAGTACAAATAGGAAAATTATCCCTATTTTCAGATGGAATGATCCTATACTTAAAAAAACCTTAAATGATTCCACCAAAAAAACTCTTGAATCTCATACTTTGGGCAGTTAGATAAAAATCAACACACAGGTGCTGGGGAGAGCTCAGTGAATAAGATGTCTGCCATAGGAGCTCAAGGACCAGAGCTCGGAGTCCTAGAATCCAAGGGGAAGCTAGGCAGGCATGCGGAGATCTTCAGGCTGACCTGGCTGCTAGACTCTCCACAATGAACAAACCAAGGACCCAGTGTAAGGCCCTGCCTCACCGAGCAGAGAGCGACAAAAGACAGTATCACTGGGCCTACATTCACATGGATACACACATGGGCCTGCACACAGGTATGCTTGTACACCCAAACATGCACACCATACACACACAAAAACCAACAAATAAACAAGTAACATTTTTGTGCATTTAAAACAAGCTCACCAAGAAATAGAGGGGGTCTCATTCACATTAGTAAACAAACAAAAACCTAGGAGAAAACCTAACAAGGGAGATGAAAGACGTCCATAATGAAAACAATAAGACACAGAAGAAACAAGTTCAGCTGAATGTGGCAGCACATGTTTAATTCCAGCACTCTGGAGGCAGAGGCAGGCAGCAGGTCTCTGTAAATTCAAGGCCAGTCTAATCTACATGGTGAGTTCCAGAACAGCCAGGATATAGTGAAACCCTGTTTTGAACAAACAGAACAGGCTGCAAAGCAATGGGGTAAAACAACACTGACCTCTGGCCTCCATGTACATATTCATGAACAATCACGATGAACACACACACTAAATAAAGAACTAAAAATGCTGTCTGAAAAAATGATTAGCTCAATTTTGTGTGTTTGCTTTTTTCAACATAGGGTTACTCTGTATAGCCCTGACTGTCTTGGAATTTACTCTGTAGACCAGGCAGGCCTTGAACTCAGATCTCCCTGCCTCTGCTTCCAGAGTGCTGGGATTAAAAGCATATGGCACCACTACCAGGCTTTAGGTCAATGTTTTTAATAATCAGCAGAAGAGACTAGGAATGCATCTGAAAGGTAGATAAGTACTAGACCCAGCATGGCCCCCAGGTGTCTGTCTGTCTGTCTCTCACTAGTGCATATACACAGACATGGGATGAAGGATTGAAGGAATAGTCCTACCAGTTTCTATTCTAAGATAGACCTTCAAAGGTTAAAACAACTCTCACTGTGCAATTTAAAGTAAAGTTTTAAATAAGTCTAACATTTTCAAAATACAAATCCTGCCAGCTATGATGGCCCCATGCCTGTAATACCCAGCACTTGGGGGTAGAGGCAAAATTAAGAATATAAAGTCATCCAGTGCTAGGGTGACCAAGAACCTGACACTAGATATCCTAAGGATCTAGGTAAAACCAAATGCTAGTGTTCTTTTTAAAAAATTGCAACAAAATGACTCTAATGATATTCTATTTTACTCATAGGTCGGTGCCTTGCTCAACCACTATGTGAGAAGCTCTCTCCTGCTGGAGAGGGGACGAATGCACTGACTCAGGTGAGACACTCTGCAGAAGAGCGAGAGGACAGACCTGGGAACTCTGCCCTAAATGGGCCGACTAACAAACCTCTCCCTCAGGGCACTCTGAGGGAAGCAGGCAGAAAGAGTATAAGGAGCCAGAGGGGATAAAGGCACCAAGAAAACAAGGTCCTCTAAATCAACATAAGCAAAACTCATGAGCTAAGGCAGCATGCACAGGGCCTGCATAGGTCTGTACCAGGTCCTTTGCATATATATATATTATTACTTCTAGTTTAAGGTTTTGGGGATTCCTGAGCGTGGGAACAAGTGAGTCTCTGTTTCATGTGCCTTCTCTTGGGTTCTTTCCCTTCTGCTTCTTTTGTCCAGTTCCAATGGTTAAAATAACAAAAAAAAAAAAATTTAGATCATCCTCAGCAACAATGAAAGTTCAGGGCTAGCCTGGGTTATATAAACTATCTCAAAAAACTAAAACCAGAAAACTAAAACCTGTCCTCCCCAAATTTTTTTTACTTACTTTTTCATTTTTTACTGTTGCATAAAGGTAAACCTCAAAGGTATCTTCTTCCACAGCACAAAGTTTTGCTTCCACTTGGGTAGTTTCTAAATGGCAATAAATGGACATGCAAGTGAGCTGACATTAAGCTTTTTTTTAAGGCAAGCACAGCCTTAAACCAGTAACCAGTGACATGCTTTTCAAAGGCACATAGACTGCAGAACAGTCCTAAAGGTAGGCACAGCACAGGATGCTGACATGATACTACAACATAAACAGCGTCAGAGCACAGTCAAAAGAATGACCCATGGTGGACAATGCCTTCGGGAACTGGGAGAGGCGTCAGGGAAAGGGGCAGAGAGAGCCTGGACCTCAGGTGCATCTGTCCCCGAACTGCTCTGAGATGGAATTTTGTGCCTCCTGTGACAAACATTCACATTCAATTTATAAGACATTTTGTTGGATGTCAGAACATAGCTATAGCACCCCATCTGGTCAGTGTACCCTAAATCTGGATATGGCTTTCAGCTTGCTTTTGTGCTTTCCCAGATACAATCTATGGTATGTGCCAGGCAACTGTGTTTAAGTTGGCCTATGCTGAGGAAGTTCTGGGAAAAAGGCTGCTCTGTTAAAATTTAGTATGTGTTCACTGGAGATTATCTGCATGCTTTTCTGTTTATGTTTTTCTGAGCAGAAATCTTCCTTGGGTTACTGGTTTCTTTGCTACATCTGTGTATAAAATGTATACTGAAACTGAAGTAAAAGTGTTTATAGCATTAGACCGTGGTCCACCCCATTGTTTAAGGTCTTCAAATCCCAGGTATGCTGACAGATCTGCAAAGGTCAGCAGAAGTCGACAAACATGACTTAAGTTAGCAACAGTAATTGTTAAACAAAAGTACACTGATCCCTTGCTCAGTAAAAGAAGCCGGGCTTTTCATAACTGCTGGATCAAGAAAACATACACACATTCATTTTGTATGCCCTCAGCATTTAAAAGCACTCTTGAGAGGCAGGGACTGTTATTTTGGGAGGGGTCCTCTACACAACCAGCCAGTTTGTTTTCGTTTTTGTTTTAATTTCAACTGACATCCAAATCCACCTGAAAAATTACAGGGGCATAATCAATGTGATATCTGGCATGGAAGGTGCTCCAAATATCTTCAGGAGCCCCATGAAGGGGGCCAGATCCATGCATGTGGATCTCAGACATCTGGCAACAGAAGTGTGAGCAGGCACATGTATCAATTCAAAGCAGTGTGTAAACACCCTGGCCTTACCTCTTAGGATGTTCTGAAAGTACTGGATAGCTGCACTGTCCCATTTTGTGGCAGGTCTGGAACAGCAAACGGGTGATTTCATTAAGTAAAAAGCCTATGCTAACATACCACTGCCATTTTAGTAGCTGGATGATGGGTGTTTCCCACACATCAAGCATACAAGGAGCTTCTGCCAGTTCTGCTTCAGGGTATAGACTCCAGATATATATGATAATGCCATCTTCACAGCTCTGCTGAGATGACACTCCCCCTATTCCAATGTATGGCACCTCTACCACACCACTGTCCCAAGTTACCTGCAACAAACCCATTTCCCCCAAACACAGTCCAAGTTCTTTGGTGAGAGAGCCCAAGTGTGCACCATCCATCACTGGCTGCCAAAGAGAATGGCACCACACACTGACCAACCAACCCTAGGGTCAGTCCTGGAAAAGTCAGCTACACTCTCTGGGTGACCCTCACTCCGAGGGCCCCAGTTGGTTTTCATCTCCACCAGCTTGCTCAGTCTATATCTTTAGTACACTTCACAAAGAATGTTGGAGAAAGAGATACAGGCACTGCAAAAGACAAAGGGGGGCTTAGAAAGAACAACAACAACAAAAAAAGCTAATTCCTGTTAGCTCCAGAGGAAACTCCAATTTCCCAAACTCCAAAAGTGGGCCCAACCTGGACTGTAGATTTCTGGTGGTTAGATAAAAGCTAGCCTTCCTTAGGAATTCGTGGCACTGGTTCCCCTCTACCAAAAGGAGTCATTTCCCTTACTTCTGGTGGAAAGGACTTCCGGCAACTTGTGGTGCCTATTAGCATATCAGAGCTCATGCTGGCCTCAAGGCTCCCTCACTAACAAGTACCTGTCACACATTTCAAAGTTCACCATCCAGCTGGGTGGTGGTGGCACATGCTTTTAATTCCACCAGATGTAGGTGGATCTCTGTGAGCTCAAGACCAGCCTGGGCTACAACAGCTAGTTCCAGTATAGCTAGGGCTGTTACACAGAGAAACCCTGTCTCGAAAAACCAGAAAACCAAAATCCTAGCCCTTCTTATCTCCTCCCCAACCCTAAACTCCCTCCAGCGCTCTCTCTCTCTCTCTCTCTCTCTCTCTCTCTCTCTCACACACACACACACACACACACACACACACACACACCACCCCTTAACTATGCCACTACCACCTTTCCCACTACTACTTCTTACTGGTTTTCTCTATTTTCTATTCCCTGCTCTTCTCTCCTCTCTTACAGACAGCCCCAATCTGGAGGAGGAATGACCAGTCAGCCTAGGCTGTGCTGTGGTCTCTTAGTGGCACACCTTACCCCCAACCTGCCAAGATACCCCCTTCCTGGATCCTAACCTACGGTATATGTGTGGAAGGTCAGGTCAATGTCAGCTATCTTTCCTTGACCACTCTCCATCTTTTGTGGAGATTATCTCCACAAAACAAAACAAAAAACTACGTGCGTGCACACACATACCATAAACACTAGACTAGCCGGATGGTGACGGCACACACCTTTAATCCCAGCACTCAGGAGGCAGAGGCAGGTGGATCTCTGAGTTTGAGGCCAGCCTGGTCTACAGACCGAGTTTCAGGACAGTCAGAATTGCTACACAGAAAACCCTGTCTTAGAAAAAAAAAAAAAAGACAAAATAATAGGAATAGGCCAGGCAGTGGTGGTGCACGCCTTTAAGCCCAGCACTTGGAAGGCAGAGACAGTAGGATGATCTCTTGTGAGTTCAAAGCCAGTCTGGTCTACAGAGTGAATTCCAGGACAGCCAGGACTACACAGGAAAATCCTGACATGCAAAACAAAAAACAAAACAAAACAACAAAAACAAAAACAAAACAAAACAAAAAGAATAAAGGGAATAGAGGAAGGAGAAGAAACCAAGGTCATAGGCCCAGAAAAACTTTCAACACAAAAAATTTCCCTAACCTAAAGGAGATGTGTACAAGAAGCATACAGAACACCAAATGGGCTGGACCAGAAAATGAAGTCCCCTCAATACATAATAATCAAAACACTAAATGTACACAACAAAGAAAGAACATTAAAAGCTCCAGGGGAAAAAGACCAAGCAACATAAATGAAGAACTCTTGGGATTATACTTGATTTCGCAATGGAAACTCAAAAAGCAAGAATGGCCTGGATAGATGTGCTACAGACTCTAAGAGACCACAGATGCCAAGCAAGACTTCTATAGCCAGCAAACTTTCATTCAGAATAGATGGAGAAAATAAGACATTCCAAAAGCACATCACAATTCTTAACAGCTATGCACAAAACACAAGGGCACCCAAATTTGTAAAAGAAACAGAACCACAGCTAAAGTCATAATGATCCTCACATAGTGACAGTGGGTGACTTCAGTCCCTCACTCACCAACAGACAATTCATCCAGTCAGAAACTAAACAGAGAGATGTTGGAGCTAACTGAAGTTATAAACCAAATGGACTTAGCAGATATTTACAGCACATTTCACCCAAACACAAGAGAATATACCTTCTTCTGAGTACCTCATGGTTTCTCCAAAACTGATCACATAGTTGGACACAAAGTCAGTCTCAACAGATAAAAGAAAATTGAAATAATACCTCACATCCTACACAAATTAAATCTGGACATCAACAACAGAAACAGAAAGCTCGCAAATTCATAGAAAATGAACAACTCACTACTGGATTAAAAATGGATCAAGAAAGAAATTAAGTGCTTCCTAGAATTGAATAGCTCAAACTTATGGAACACAATGAAGGCGGTTCTAAGAGGCAAGGTATAGTGGGTATTTACCCCATCCATGACCTTGGGCTATCTAGCAGACAGAGGCAGAGCTTCTTGCCTTTAAAGAAAAGGGGGGGCAGTTCTTGCTCACTCCTGTGGTGGTTGTAGATGGGCTGCTGCTTCCATTCGCCCCAAAGCAGAAGGGAAGATCTCAGCAGCTCTCTACATTGTTATTTGTGTCTCCTAATAAGTCTTTGATATCTGTGGTGAGCCCAAGAGTATTATACAATAAATGTACAGCTAACAGATCTATTAGACAAATCCACAGGAATATGATCTTGTGGAGAACCTGTTTTGCAGAGCTGAGGAAACGCCTGTCTTTCGGATAAGTCACTGTCAAGCGTTGGTGTGAAAGCATCCACTCAAACCTTTGTTCGCATAACAAATCTGCATAAAACATGTCCCCTACAACTATCTTTATTGACAGGACTTACTGACAAGAAAGGAGCTCCAAGCAGGAGGCACTGAGCAGAGAGACAGCATGTTTGCTCCTATTGATAAACAGGTCTGGGTGGCCCTGAGTTCTCTAGTAGCAGACTCAGGAAGGTGTAATCTACCAGCCTTTGCTCTAACCTAACAAGCTATTAATACTCTGTATGTTGCCCTGTTTGCTGCATCTTGGGCTCCATATTGGGAGAGCATGGTTGAGGTGTGCAGCTTGGGCATGGTGAGTTACGTGCAGCTGTCAGACAAGGAAGACTGCCAGGCTATGAATGCAGTGACCTATGATGATGTGCATGTGAACTTCACTCCAGAAGAGTGGCTTTGCTGGACCCTTCGCAGAAGAATCTCTACAAAGATGCGATGCTGCAGACCATCAGGAACCTCACTGCCATTGGCTACAATTGGGAAGGTCATGATATTGAATATTCTCAAAGTTCTAGAAGAAGTGGAAGTCCTCTTTAGAGGCATGAGAGAATTCACATGGAAGAGAAGCCCTGTGAAAGTATTCAGGATGATGAACCCACTGGTAGCACAGTCGGCTATGAGTGTATGAAAGAGCACACACTGGGGAGGAAACCTATGAATATAGTTGGTATGGCTAAAGATTTTACACAATCCAGTCATCATCAAAGGCATTAAAAACACACACTGGAAAGAAACCCTATGAATGTAATCAGTGTGGTAAAGATTTTACACGTCCCAGTCATCTTCAAATACATGCAAGAATACACACTGGAGAGAAACCCTACAAATGGAATCAGTATGGTAAAGCTTTTGCATATCATCATAATGTTCTAATTCATGAAAGAACACATACTGGAGAGAAACGCTATGAATATAATCATAGTGTGGTAAAGCCTTTTAATATCAGAATCTTCTCCAAACAAATAAAAACACATATGGGAGAAAAAAATTATCAATGCAATCAATGTGATAAAGCCTTTATATATCACAGTAGTACTCTAAGGCATAAAAGAACACATAGCAGAGAGAAACCCTGTGAACGAAATCAGTGTAGCAATGCCTTTCACAGTAATCTTCAAAAATATAAAGGAACACGTAGAGGAAAGAAACCCTAGGAATGTAACTAATGTTGAAAAGCCTTTGCATGTATCAGAAGTCTTCAAATTCATGAGAAGATATACTGTACAGACACCTTATAGTCAGTGTGGTAATGTTTTTTATTTTACGGTAGTTTTTCTATAAGAATAAGCTTTTAGTGCCCAATTGGTTACAGCCTTTTCATATTACAGCAGTCTTTGAGGAAGGGCAAACCACTGAAAAGATTCTAACTATTAAGAATTTGGCAATATTTTCAGTGAACATACATTATTAAGGTACACTTGAGTATTGATTATGGAGAAAAATGCTGCCAATATCAGCAATCTGTCTGTAGATTATAGTGTTCTTTACTTTGTTTGCCCCTGCAAACTCATATGAAGGAAAGTTCTACAAATTTAATGATGGGACCCTGTGAGATTCCACACTGCTCTTCAATTACGTTAAATATCTAATCCAGCTGTAAAAGTTTATGGGTGTGAATTTGTGTCATTTATGTTGTTGTGATATAACATGTTTTAATGACATTAATGTGAAAAGACTGAATACTAAAGAATCTGAGAAACAGTAAATACCTCATATGCATATTCAAAGCACAATTTTCTTTGGTTGATATGTAATAAAATAGAATAATCAGCAATCAACTCTATCTCATAACATAGCTTGATGTGCTATAGATATGTATACATTACTGTTCTATTTTCTTGTTCCTGTCTCCATGATTTTTCCATTTGTCACTTCATCTTGAAGTACTGTCTTCTAAACATACATTGATTCCAGATAATAGAGCAGCAATGAGTTTTATTTTAAAAAATTCTTTTGTATGTGTCTGTAAGGTGACTCTGGGTTTGTAGGATATGGCAGATGTGCGGAGACTAGAAGACAACTTTATGGAATCTTCTTTTGGCCATCTTCATATGGTGACCATGGAGAGGTTCCAGTGTGCACACCACAGACACTTCACACTGAGCCATCTCACTGATGCTCAAACAAGATGAGTTGAAAATTACATCAGTAAAATATTATCTTCTTTTCAAATTGTAAATGTATTGTTGTTTAAGAATGGAGGAAAAGGGGACAATTTGAGTAATAAATCCTGTTATGATTTGCTGGTAAAAAAAATACTCTGTATTTACCCTTCACCTTGGTTTCAGTTAACATAAGACCATAGCCCAGGAAATTAACTGTTTATACCTTTACCCCTAGAAACACAGGAAAGGGGCCTGAGTCGCAAAAACCAGCCTCAGAGAGGAAAAATTCTCACTTGGGTACTGGCAGGCACCCTGCTGGAGTCAAAATAGGTTGCTATGGCTACCCTGCTGAATTACCAGCCACCAGGGAAGAAAGCAGAAATGCTCAGAAAGTATGGCAGTGCTGCTGCATTTTTCTACAGTTAATCATAAACTTTAGCTGCACTAAAGTGCATGGAAACTTCTTAGAATTCTGTAGTGGTTTAAAGTCCCATCCTTAGTTAATCCTCCCAATACCTTCCGTGGAGCTTTACAGCCATGCCTCCCCCCTGAGATGTAAGAGGCCTCCTTTACCTGCTTTTGGGACTCTGAAATGCATGCTTGATATTGCTACCATGTATGGAATTGCTAACTTGCCTGTATATCTATACAAACTGAAAGCCTTGTGAGAATGGCCTTTTCTTTCTTCTTCCCCCAGGGTATAAACATGCAGGAGGAACGTGCTTGAGTCAGCCAGCTTGTTCTATACCGCAGATTCCTCTCCCTGGACAGTTTTCCCTTGCCAAGACATTCTGCTCTGGACACTGAGAGGATTAATGAGCTTAACCCCAAAATCAACCTCGATCAATAAGTCTTTTATTCGGGCTCTCATGGATTTACATACTTCTGCCTACAATTGTCATCAACATTTGGGACAACCCAACAGTCTACAGCCTGCCCACTTGTCCCACCACCCACTTCAGGTGCGGTGCTTTGAAATTCCTGTTCCACAGCTAGGGAAGAAATAACTGGAAATAGGAATCATCATATATATATATATATATATATATATATATATATATACATATATACATATATATATCACATCAGATCCCATACGGGTGTGTGTGTGTGTGTGTGTGTGTGTGTGTGTGTGTATCATATCAGAACCCATATGGTTCTGCCAGATCCTCTAATAAAGGTAATGATGAAATTAATCAGTTATTAATAGGAAGTGTTCTGCAGTCCTCAAAATTTCATAAAAAAACACCATGTCAACAACAAAGGTTAAAAAAATGATTTTTCCATCACTTGGCAACAAACCAAGAAAATTATAAACCATGTCCTACAACCAACATGAACATCAAACAGTTTAATACCTGCTTTACAAAAGGTGAATGCATGCCATATGAAACTATCACTTCCTTAAATCTCCTTAAATCTAACATTTCCACAGGATTCCAGGAACGATTCAACAGCCTTGGGTCATTCTCATGCCTTTGGTCCCAGCACTAGAGAAGTGGAGACAGGCTCTCCTGCATTCAGTCTAAGGATTCCTAGGAACAAGCTCACCCATTCGGTCTGAGGTGTCAATAGGGGTAAGAACTAGTGGCTGGTTGCTCTGCTTCTCTGAACTTTCAGCATTTACCCCCTAATATCTGACTCAGGGTTTTTATTATTAAGACCAAATAGGATTCTTGCTACAGTCTGGATAGGAAGGGATGAGGGGAGAACTGAGTAACTCTAATTGGGATGTATTATGTGAGAAAAAAAATCTATTTTCAGTAAAAGTGGGAAAAATACCATTCAAGGAAGCTCAGTCATTTTCAAAGCAGTTTGGTTTAATTTGGTAACAAGGTCTCATTATAAATTTCTCATAATAAAAAAATGATAAAAATAGAAAATTCTCATTTTCACTACTGCAGTTACCAGAACTTACAGTGAATTCTCTTATGTTTTGTATTGTTTCTGCTTGTTTTTAAGACCAAATCTCACAGTATCACCGAGGCAACAAGCAGTCCTCTTCTATCAGCCTTCAGAATGTGGATTACAGGAATATGCCACCTGGCTTATTATATTTCCTTTAATTATCACAGCATCCTAATTTCCCTGTTTTTAATTTTAGAAAAAATTCATAGAGATAAAGCAACTTACAACTCATTTTGTTGGCAAATGAAGCTAAGTGGTATCCAGATCCACTCAAAATAAAAGAAAGAGGGAGGTGACTGGAGAGCCCCCACATACAAAAACTGTGCATTAGAGCAGCTACTTTACTCATCCCCTGAAACAACCAAAGTGCTCTGTAAAATTACTGTCAATTTGTTTGAATATAAAATAAAGAAACTGCTATCACCCTTATACTCAAACACCCTGAAATCAGCAAGAGTTCGTTCTTTCATGATGTCTTATTGACTTCTCATCTCATTTCCCATGCTGCATACTTGGAAGGAAAGAGTAAAAAATTCAAGTATTTTTTGTGGCAGGCTATTGTTTTTTATTTCTAAGATACCCAAGACATCAGATCCTATCCGCTTATTCAATAAGCCTGTCTTATGTCAGATCGTTTTTGTTAAGATTTAATCTGGAGGCAAACAGGGACTTTACAATGCCACACACCATGGTATTACAAAGCTATTGGCTCAAACCTTCATGCAAGTGGAATCAATTTGTTTTTTGTTTTTAAGATGGGGTTTCTCTGCGTAGCTTTAGGGTCTGTCCTGGAACTCACTCTGTAGACCAGAATGGCCTCAAACTCAGAGATACGCCTGCCTCTGCTTCCCGACTATTGGGACTAAAGGCATGCACCACCACTGTCCGGCTATGGAATTAATTTTTAGTTAACTAGATTTTACCTTCTCTGATTGTGTTCTTCATAACAAATGGTGGAAACACACAGAACTAAAGGGGTGTCAACATTTTAAGCAGTCAAAAAGAAGCTGTACTTACATAATCTCAGCGCTGTCCTCACAGAAGTCAATGTGCAATGTCACAGGCTTGGTACAATAAAGTCTGAACTTTTTTGCTCTATAAGGAAGATGCATAAAGGATTCTACTGCGACTCGAATGCTTAAAAATAAAATACAAATAATTTTATTATAAGTAAAAATCATACATAATTCTTTAGTGCATACTTATATACTTTATATAGGAAACAAATCTTCCTTTTTCTTATATAGTTACAACAATCCTTAGAGACACCTGACCAAGGGGCCTTAAGCTGTTCCCTAAGGAGCAGAAGTTTTTAATATGTCTAAATATTATACATAAATAATCTGTTATTAAAATTCCATGGTACAGGAGTTTAGGCAAAAAAAAAATATGTCCAGTGAGGCTACAAATGGTGAGAAATACTGAAAAACAACTGAACCTGGGAAGAACTTTACATAAAATTTTATTTTTATTCTTTTATACAAGGTCTCACATAGTTCAGACAGGCCTGCTTCCATATCCCAAGTGCTAGGATTACAGGCATTCTAGGATTACATTACCATTACCATGCCTGGCTATTTCAGATTTTAAAATACCAATTAAGACAGGTGGGGTACCTCAGAGGGCTAACGCACCTGCCGCCACGTCTGAGACACCCACATGGTCTCAGAAGGGAAGGAGAGCACCGACTCCTGCGAGCAGTCCTCTAGCCTCCCTGTGTGCACTGTGGCTTAACTATCAACCCCAACACACACACTAGCTCAGAATCACACAGAAGTTTCTGTAAACATTGATGCCACTAGAGCTGGAGGACTGGGATTTGATAAATTTTAAGTTCAGTATCTTTACTCCATTTTTCTTCAGGCAAACTACAGGTCACATTGTCCTATGACATTTCAAATAACAACTGACTCTGTTTCTGGTCCCCACCATTCATTCCCTTCATGGACAAACACACAGGCTTGTTATCTAGGGAGATGAGAAAATGGTGGCTTTACTGAATGACCTGGCTCTTTCATCATGTAATTTTCTTGTCCTACATAAAAGCCAAACAAAACCACCGCAGTTGTAAGGCTGTGGACACAAGCTGCTTTCTTCCTGTGCTCTGTAAACCCTCACGTCCCATTTGTCGCATGCCACTGATGTAACTCTACTTTGTTAAGCACCTTATTCATGGGAAGAGGGCCCTTATATTTACTTAACTGACCACCTTTACTCTGGGATGGAAACTGGAAGGTTGGCACAAATACAAAGACTGGCCTATTAGTTTCAGTAAACTATAACAATCAGTCACAGACTTGGAGCAACCTGTCCAGTAGACCTTTGGCTCCTGTGTCGTATCCTAAGAGATGGTCATACCCTCCCTGTGTTATGCAGGCTAACCACGAATGTATGCTTGCATACTCTGTCCTATGTACCCTTACATTGGTCTACATCCTTCTCTTCTATGAGACAAAAAGTTTTTACCTCTTGGCAGCTTCATTCTTGAGTCATCTCTCTCCCTCTAAGACCTACTGTGTCCATGAGCAAGCTAAGGGAACAGACTAGACAGGAGTTGGCAGAGGCACCAAGAGATGCAGAGACAAAGGCTTGCCTTCTGCTTTTAGAACAGAAGCCTCTCCTGTGTTCCAAGTCTCTCCTTCCTTTAAAAACTGACACTAACTTTGATGGAGAGATAGCTTAGCAGTTAAGAGCATGTGTTGCTATGGCAGAGGTCCTGAATTTGGTTCTATCATGCACATTAGGTAGTTCACAACTGCCTGGAACTCCAGCTCCAAGGATCCAATGGTCTTCTGGTGTGCGCACACACACAGACATACACAACACACATGTACTCATAATTGAAACACATCTTTAAAATTCTTTTAAAAAAGAACTCAATGTATTTTCTTTGCTGACATTTTCCTTTAAGACTGCTATCTGTCTCTTAAGGTAGATGAGGCAAGATTAACACATATGTACTTTTTGGATTTTACTGGAATGCACTTGGCAAAATCCACAAGGAAACACTCTGCCAGGTAATGGTCTGCAGAAGAGATGATTGACTTAATCACAGCCCTGCACCAGCACTTCAGCTCCTGACAGTATACCACACACACCTGCAAAACGAAAGCAAATCTCAGTCACATATGAGACACATCAAAAAGTCCCTCAGATCATTACAGGAGAGAGCTGCAGGGGTCTCCATCTGTCAGGAAAGAGTTCAGGAAATGTTTTCTTACTACGGTCTTCCTTTTCATCACAGTTTCTGTGGCTCACAGTTAACTGTGGTCTGATAATGAAAGTTCCAGAAGTAAACAATTCATAATTTTAATTATCCTCTGCTCCAAGTACCACAAGGAAATTTTATATCATTTTGCGCCATTGAGCCTAGAACATGAAGTGCTCACTTGCTCAGAACATACTATGTAAACAGTACCAGTCTCTCTCTTTTTTGTGGAAAGGGGGGTTGAGACAGGGTTTCTCTGTAGTTTTGGAGCCTATCCTGGAACTCCCTCTGTAGACCATGCTGGCCTTTACCTCACAGATCCACCTGCCTCTGTTTCCCGAGTGCTGGGATCAAAGGTGTGTGCTACAGTACCGGCCTCTTAATCACTTAGAAGCCATCCTGTCTTGGACATCAGGCCAGCTGTCATAGGACTGAAGCATTTGGTTCAAACAACCTTCATATCACCTAAAAATAGCCCTAGAGTGGATTTTTATTATAGTATGTTATCATGATGATATTAGTTTATTATTGTTGCCAGTGCCTTCCTAGACCTAGCTTGTAAATTAAACTCTGCAGTAACTCAGATCTCCACTGGGGTCTTAGCTCACTGACCAGGTCGTCTGTACAACATGCAGGTTAAAATGCACTGTTCTTTCTTCTTCAGTCCAAGAACAGCCTACAAATGGCTCTCAGAAACTTCAACCCCAGGCTCCTTTCCCTCGTGGCCTCATACACTTTAATGTCTGGTTTTTGTCTGGCATAAATAGTCCCTAGATCTACGACCATATGAACTTTGTCTTCTGGTGTTTGTTTGGTCAATGTACATTGCCTACCACATACTGAGTCTTCAAAACCTACTTTCTGAATGCCTGCAACTGCTCTTAAAGGAATCACCGTGATAAAGTGACAGCCCTTATCATCCTTACTGGACCACAGATCCCCACCAGGCCACAGGCTACTTGACTGGCAGCCCACAGCCAGGCAGACCATGTGCTAACCACAGGCTTTCACAAAGCCACCCTGCAAACTGAAGTTTGAAAACAGTACAGCCATTCCACAAGAACTTTACACAGTTCAAACATCAGTGGCTGGAGAGAAATTCTGACAAAGAATGAAGGGCACTTCTATTGAATGTCAAAATCAAAGGCACAGTTAACTCCCACAGCCAGGGGATTTTTGAAACTGTTACTCTATAGCAATCTACCAAGAATAACACAGACGAATAATGAGCAGGTTGTAGCTCAGTAATATATCTATATGCAGAAACCCAGTTTCAATCCCTGTTATCCATAACATACACCTTTATGGTGGTGACAACCTCCCTATAAAAACATGCCTTCTTCATGTCTCTTCTAGAGAGGAAGAGGAAACACATGAGGCAGCTGGAGTTAGGCTCCTATTCTTATTTCATGGATGTGAAATGCCCAGGATCCTGTAAGATTACCATGGTCTTGAGCCATACACAGACTGTACTCTTGTCTGCTGCCTGCCGCCCACCTTCTGTCAGCCCACACGCAGAGAAGCCGCTTTAACAGAAGCGCATCTCTTCTGGGGGAAGCAGCACCGAAGCCCCTGGGTCAAGGGGCATCTAACAGACACATTTGCTTTTAAAAAAGAAAGAAAGGAAAGCACTAAGAAGCCACAGAGATCAAAATGGTACTGTAAAGTACAAAGGAGCTGGGGGTGAAGTTCAGAGGCATGCATGGAGCTCTGGGTTTCATCCCTAGCACAAAATAAAGTTAAGTAAATATAGAGAAGACTCAATTCCAAAGGGATGGCAACTGGGCACCAATCACTAAGATGAAAATTTTTAAGAATAAGAATCATTCTTAAGGGGGCTGGAGAGATGGCTCAGCGGTTAAGAGCACTGGCTGCTCTTTCAGAGGTCCTGCGTTCAATTCCCAGCAACCACATGGTGGCTCACAGCTATCTGTAGTGGGATCTTGTGCCCTCTTCTGGCATAAAGTTGTATGTGCAGATACAGCGCTCAAACATTTTTTAAAAACCATTAAGTGTTTACACTACAAATTGTTTACTTTCTCTTCTGTTGTTGAGGCAAGGTTTCTCTAGCCCTGGTTCTCTGGCCTTGAACTCAGAGATCTGCCGGCCTCTGCCTCATCCCCTCCCCCCAAGTGCTGGGATTAAAGGTGTGTGCCACCACACCCAGTTAACTATTTCATATTAGTTAATAAACAAGGAAAAGTTCTACTTTGGGCTTTATGAAGCCTAACTCAGAATGAAGAGGGAATGAGAAAAATCTTATGTCAAAACGCAAATGAAAGAGCTGGCGTAGGCAGTGATGGCCGCTACCGGTGAGAGTTGGGCACGTGAAACACTGATGGCAGTGCCACGGGAGAGACCAGGCTGACACATCATCCATCCACGGCGTTTTAGCACTTCCCAAGTCAGTCTCTCTCCCAAATTAACACAACAGGAAGTGCACAATATAAATGCTACAGGGAAAGAGAGATCAAATCTATCCAAAACATTTAACTACACTATTGGCCCACACCAAACATAAAGGACAAAGTGGGAAGTTAAATACGTTAAATACAGATGCACATGCGTGCACACACATCTTAAGACCAACTGATCTAGCTTCATTTCTGAAGCTAGCATTTAGTGTTACATGAAAAATAAGACATCATGTTATTAATGATAAGGGGGGGACACAAATGTTTTCTAGTTTTTTCTCAAAACAAGTTTATAAATATTTTCCTATCACGTATTATAAAAGTCCACTTTCCCAAAAAAGGCCTGACGAGAGGGCCAGACTGTGTACAATGGAGTTTATGTTGTATGAACACAGAGGGGCCACAACATGGAATAAGTAGAATAAAGAAACTCAAGTTGCCCAAAGTCTAGGTAACAAAAGAAAGAAAGAAAGAAAGAAAGAAAAGAGAAAAGAAGCACCAACACTAACTAAAACCCCATGTCCTGTATGCTGACCATGTGTATGTGCTGTATATGTGGGTCTAGAGTACTCTGGTGTCCAGTCCTAGGAAGACAGCCTGTGCTGTCAGTCAGGGAGACAGCTCTGCTAGCCAAGTCCCTGCTGCCAAGGCCAATGGAGTTTGATCCCGGGAGCTCACACAGCAGGACAACCTGGCCTAACCGTCCTCTTCCAGACTAGTTTCTACCTTGCACAAAACAAACTAGTACCAAATGACGATACGAGTTGCTAAGTATTTCACCAGTTAGGTATAGAGCACTATGCATTTTGAATGCTGTTTTAAACACTGAGATTAAGGCGCACGTAGGTCTTGGCAACAGTAAAAAAGCACATACCTGCCCTTCCTCCAGCATTAGCGGCTTTATTTCTATGTCCTGACACACGCTGCTATAGAAGTCATTCATGGCACTGTTCAGTTTTTGATAGTCGACTTCTTGTTCTAAAAATTGACTACATCCTTTTATAATTACCCAAAAGCAGCCTGGATCTTCAATCTGTAGTATTTTAAGAAGACAAAATAATGTATGATTTAGAAGTAGAGCCATGTGATACAAACCCTTAAATTACAGTAACTGTGTCTAATCTTAAGTGGTCTAACAAATTCTGGACAAGCACCTTTGTCTTATATGGTTAGTCTGAAGCTGGTGTGATGGTCCATCTATGTAAGTTTGATGCCAGCCTGGTCTACGCAGTAAGTTTCAGAACAACCAGAGCCATATAATGAGACCTTGTCTTAATATATATTATAATATATATATATATATATAAACAAAACAAAACGAAAAGGGTCAGATTGAAGATAAAATCCCCAAACACAAACAAGCACAGGCAAACAATTCTTAATTATGTGTACAATTAAAAAACCGAATAGGATACTGAGCATGGCAAAACACATGTATAATAGTAGGACTTAGGAGACGGAGGTAGGGGGATCACAAGTTTGAAACCAATCTAGACTATAAATCTAACACTTTTTTCAAACTCTACCGCCCCAAAAAGCAAACAGACATCCTTACTCTAATATTTCAAAAATACACAGAATATACATAAGCAAGCTATCCACAATATTTATAACTTCTTTTTAAGAAAGGAAAAACCTGCTGGGAGGTGGTGGTGCACACCTTTAACCCCAGCATTCAGCAGACAGAGGCAGACAGATCAGTGAATTTGAGACCAGTCTCGTCTACAGAATGAGTTCTAGGAGAGCCAGGGCTATGTAGACATCCTGTCTCAAAAAACATGCAACAACAACCAAAAAAATAAAAATAAAATAAAAAATAAACAACAACAACAAAGACCGTAAGTGTGGGGAGCCAAGGAAGCTGAGTCTGTAAGGAGCAGAGAAAGTCCTATGTGAATGTGTATGGCTGACATGGGCACAGGCATGCCAAGGACACCAATGCCTCAGAGTCATGAGAATCAGCAAAGCCTTCCTCCGGTTGGACTATGGATGGTGGCAGTGCTCATAAAAACTAGCAGCTACAGCTTCTCCTCCTTCATGACTGCAACTCAAGATGGCTCTGATACAAAGATTCCTTTGAGACTAGCAAACCCCTCATGCTTCTGCTGCACTTAATGAACTTACTGCAAACTTGGCGATGCTCCTTCAGAGTGCACACAACCCATCATATCCCAGTCTTTACATTCATGTGTCTTTATCTATCCTTTCTTCATTCCCTCATCACCACAGTCATGCTAAGTCCAAAGTCACATAAGATGCACTGCATGTGAACATTTATTATTTATTCAACAGGGAAATAGGGGTTGGAGATGTAGCCCAGTTGGTAACACACTTGCCTAGCATGCATGTCATTTTTGTTTAATCTCCAGCATGTCATAAAATGGGATGTGTTGGCATACACCTGTAATCCCAGCACTCAGGAGGACCAGGAGTTAAACATCATCTGTATCTACAACACAGTGAGTGCAAGGGTTAGTCTGAGCTACGACTCCATTATCTCGAAAGTGGGCTAGAGGGAGAGTGGAGAAGGACAAGGAATGAGAAAAGCACCATGGGGCTGGGAATGCAGCTCAGTGGTAGCAAGCACCTAACTAACACAGGCAAGGCCCTGGACCCCAGTCTTAACATGACATCCCACCCCACTCAAGGAAAGCTGGGGAAGGATAACATAAATCAAACAAATATAAATTATTACCTGGGGAAAGGAAAAGTAGAGTAGAAGATTAAAGTCAGAGCTATCTAAATATGCCTTGTTATATATTATTATTTTTAAAAAACAGGCCAGTGAGATGGTTCTGTCATAAAGGTGCCTGCTGCCAAGGTTGAAGACCTGAGTTGTTTGATCCCTGGAACTCAAAAAGTAGGAGAAAACTTCCACAAGTTGTTAAGTTGACCTCTGACCTCCATATGCCTGCTGCAGCACACATATGCACAAAATAAATTAAAATGGAATTAAAAGACCTACAAGAGGCTAGAGAGAAAGCAGCAGTCGAGACTACTTCCAGAGGACCTGAGTTCATTCCCAGACCCCAAGTCAGGAAGTTCAAAACCACCTGTAACTGGAGTTACAGGTGATCTGATGCCATCTTCCAGCTTCCAAGGACACCATCACGCACGGTAAACACTCAGATACATATTGTCTTAGTGTTCTGTTGCTGTGAAGAGACACCATGAGCATGGCAACTCTTGGAAAGGAAAACATTTGGCTGGCTTACAGTTCAGTGGTTTAGACCACTATCATCAGGGCCAGGGCAGGAAGATGATGGCACACAGGCAGACACGGTGTTAGAGAAGTGGCTGAGAGTTCTACATCTTGAGCCACAGAAAGCAGGAAGAGAGAGCCACTGGATCTGGCTTGGGTTTTGAAAACTTCAAAGTCCATCCTCAGTGACACACTTCTTCCAACAAGGCGATACCTCCTAATCTTTTCAAATCATGCCTAGTGATAAATCTATGAGCCTATGGAAGCCATCTTTATTTAAACAACCATTCATACAAACAAAAATTAAAAACTGCACAAAGTATCATTTTCAGAGATAAGCTAGAAACTGGAAAAAGTTATAATTTCATTAAAAACACCGATTAAAACCACCATTGATTTTTCAAATGCATGTCCCACCTTTGTCTACTGAGAGGGGCTAGAAGCAACAAGACACCACAACTCTGAATCTTTATACACCAGAGAGCAGAGATATAAGTTTTAGTTGTTTCTACTCTTCTGAACATTTTATTTTTTCGTTTTCCAAAACAGGGTTTCTCTGTGGCTTTGGCATCCGTCCTGGAACTCACTTAGTAGACCAGGCTGGCCTCAAACTCAGATCCGCGTGTCTCTGCCTAAGTGCTAGGATTAAAAGTGTGTACTGCCACTACCACTAAGCTGATTTTTCCCTTTTTTATTGTTTTTATTGAGCTATACATTTTTTCCACTCTCCCCTTTCCTTCCCTCTCCCCTTCTACTTTCTCCCATGATCCCCAAGCTCCCAATTTACTCAGAGATCTTGTCTTTTTTACCTTCCTATGTAGATCTATGTATGTCTCTCTCAGGGTCCTCTTTGTTGTCTAGTTTCTCTGGGGTTGTGAACTGTAGGCTGATTTTTCTTTGCTTTAACTCTAAAAGCCACTTATGTGTAAATACATATTGTATTTGTCTTTCTTGGTCTGGTTTACCTCACTCAATATGTTTTTTTTCTAGATTCATCCACTTGCCTGCAAATTTCAAGATGTCATTTTTTTTTACTGCTATGTAGTACTCCATTGTGTAAATGTACCACATTTTCTTTATCCATTCTTCAGTAAAGGGGCATCTAGGCTGTTTCCAGGTTCTGGCTATGATAAACAATGCTGCTATGAACATAGTTGAACACATGTCCTTGTGATACAATTGAGTATTCTTTGGATATATACCCAACAGCAGTATTGCTGGGTATTGAAGTAGGTTGTTTCCTAATTTTCTGAGAAATCACCATACTGATTTCCAAAGCAGCTGTACAAGTTTGCACTCCCACCCGCAATGCTGGAGTGTTCCCTTTACCCCACAACCTCTCCATCATAAGCTGTCAGTGTTTTTGATCTTGGCCATTCTGACAGGTGTAAGATGGAATCTCAGAGTTGTTTTGATTTGCATTTCTTTGATGGCTAAGGATGTTGAACATTTCCTTATGTGTCTTTCAGCCCTTCGAGATTCATCTTTTGAGACTTTTCTGTTTAGGTCTGTACTCCATTTTTTTTTATTGGATTATGTGATCTTTTGCTATCAAGTTCCTTGAGTTCTTTGTATATTTTGGAGATCAGTCCTATGTCCGATGTGGGGTTGGTGAAGGATTTATTTTAAGACTAGATTTCACTATGCATCCTGGCTAGCCTGGAGCTGGCCATGTGGAATAGGCTGGCCCCTAACTCACAAAGATCTACCTGCCTCTATATCCACTTGAGTGCTGGGATTAAAGGTGTGTACCACCATAGTTGGCTGTTTGAGGTTTTTATAAAACTGGGGGTGAAGACAGCAGTCATTTTGATTTTGGTATTTGCAGATTAGTCTATAGTCATATAATTAATAGCAAAACTGTCACCATCATGCTTAATATAGTAAGGAAGGGACAAAACAAAATCCAGTAAAGCCAGGTATTAGGCATATGAAGAATGAAGCTATAACACATGGCCCCCAAAAAAAGCCACTAGAAAGCAACCCCAGGGCTGGGGATGTGGCTCAGTGGCAGGCCCTTGCCTAACCCCTCAAGGTCCAGAGCTCTGTTCCTAGAAAGGAACAGAGGGAGGATAATGGCAAGGACTTGAAAGTAGCTTAAAGTCTGCTTAAGAACTTAATGACCAGACAATAGCTAGTGTCTAAAGAAGTTTAGTTAGGAAATAGGACGTTGCTGTGTTTTGGTTTTTGAGACAGGATCTCACTTAGCCCAAGCTAGCCTCAAACTAGCTACAGCAGAGTGATCTCCATCTCCTAAGTAATAGGCTTACAAGAGTGTGCCAGGGCATCCAACTGTATTTACCAATGGGATCTATATTAAATGACAGGAAGTAAAATACAGGAAATAAAAATCTAATAGTGGTGTACATACTATTTCATTCAACATTGGCTGGAGTCTGCTAGACAATACTGTAAGACAAGACTACCAAAAACCTAAAAATAAATAAACTTGCCAGTTTCTATAAGTATGACTGTCTACATAGAAAATCCTAAGGATTCTATAAAAACTATATTACAACTACTATGGAAACAATAAAACAATGATGAAAGAGACAGACAAGGAAATACAGGGAGAGCCAGAACATGTCTTTAGTCCCAGCACTCCGAGGAGAGAGACATCTTAACTTCAAGGCCAGATTGCTCTACAGAGTGAGTTCTTGGCAAGCCAGGGGTACAGAGTGAGATCCTTTCTTTAAAAAATCAGGGTTGCGGTGTACACCTTTAATCCCAGCACTCAGGAGGCAGAGGCAGGTAGATCTCTGAGTTCGAGACCAGCCTGGTCTACAAGGGCTAGTTCCAGGACAGGCTCCAAAGTTACAGAGAAGCCCTGTCTCAGAAAAAAAAATCGGGGCTAGAGAGATGGCTCAGTGGTTAAGAGCATTGGTTGCTCTTCCAGAGGACTGTTGTCCAATTCCCTGCACCCTTATGGCAATCTTACAACTGTAACTCCAGTTCCAGGGGATCAGACACCCTCACACAGACAACATACATGCACTCACATAGACAACATACATGCAGGCAAAATATCATTGTACATAAAATAAAAATAATTTAAAAAATCATGGGAACACATCCACACTTGTCGAATGGAAGATTTAACATTGATATAAATTAAAACATCAATACTACAGATTCATTTATTATGAAATCGTAATGGCTTTTTATTTTTTTGCAAAATTTTAAGGGACCCTGAGGAGCCAACAAACCTAAAAACAACAAAGCTAAAGTGTAGCCCAACTAGCAGAATGCTTGCCTACCTACATATGAAGTCCTAGGTTCAATCCCCAGCACTACATAAGACGAACCTGGTAATGCATGTCTGTAGTCGCAGCACACATGGGGTGGTGGGCAGGATTAGGCTACTGAAGGGATAGAAGCCAGTCCCAGCTGGAGGCATTGTATCAAAGCCAAACTAGCTAGAAGGACTCACACCTGGTTTCAAAGTTTACTACAAAGCTACAATACACAAAACAGTGTGGTGCTGTTACAATTATAGACATAGAGACCAGAAGGATAAAAAAAAGCCCAGGATGAACTCCTGTACAATGTGGTCCAATAATAGTTGACGAAAGGTACCAAAAGGTACCAAAATCATTCTATGGGGAAATGACAGTCTTTCCAAAAACATTATTGGGAAACTGAACATTTCATGTCAAAGAATGAAATTATTATGACCATATAAAAGAAAATTAGTTCAAGGGACAGGCAGGAAGGTTCAGTAGATATAGGCACTTGCTGAGGAAGCCTGGCACCTGAGTTCAATCTCTGAAACCCATGTAAACATGGAAGAAGAGAATTAGCTCTACAACTTTGTCACATACACCATGGCATTGCCTCCTCATAATGAACATGAATGCACCCACACAATAAAAAAATGTAAAAAAGAAAGAAAACTCAAAATGTTTATGTATGACTATAAACTCTTAGATGGAAACAATACAAAAGCTTCATATTTGGCTACTTGGATATGAAACAGCAACAAAAGGAAAATAAATAACTGATCAAAATTGTATTTTCTGCCTCCAGGAAGTTCACCAATAAATAGTCCATATGTCTTAGTTTCCTTTCAGTGGCTGTGATAAATGGCCCTGACCTAAAACAATGTAGGGGAGGAAAGGGCTTCTTCTGCAGTTCATTATGCAGGAAGTGAAGACAGGGCAGGAACTCAGGAGCTGGATCATCACATCCAGTCAAGAGCAGAGTGAGAACGTGTGACTGGGTCCTTGCTTGCTTCTGCTCAGCTAACTTTCTTGACTATACAATCCAGGATGCCAGGTCCAGCGAATGCAGAGGTCCACAGTGGGCTGGGGCTTCCCGCATCAATCAGCAATCAAAGCAATCACACTCACGTGTCCACAGGCCAACCTGACCTCGGTAACTCCTAATTGAGACTCTCCCCAGATGATTCTAGGCTGTGTCAGTTATAAGTAACCAGTACACCATGAAATGGGAGAAAAATACTGAAAATCACTTAGCAGGAAAGGGATTGATATTCAGAGTGTAAAGAGGGCTTCTAAGACTCAACAAGCACATCATAAGCTTGAACCACTTAAAAAAAAAAAAAAGACTGAGGACCTGAAACAGCATTTTTCCACTGACCCTAGTAAGGTGGCCGATTCATCCCGTGAAAAGATGCCTGATGGGCTGTAGAGATGGATCCGTGGTTAAGAGTGAGTGGTTGGTTGGTTGCTCTTGTAAAGAACCCAAATTCAATTCTCAGCAGTTTCCAGCACCCACACCGGGTGACTCACAGCTGCCTGGAACTCCAGCTCTGAAGGTGCCCGCACTCACGTGTACACATTCAGACACATAATAAAAAATAGATTTTGAAAGATGACTGGGGGTGGTAGTGCACAACTTTGATCTGAGCACTGGAGGGGTGTACGCAGGTGGATCTAAGTTCAAGGCCATCTTGGTCTACGTAGGGAGTACCCAGCAAACCAGGGCTACAGATTAAGACCCTAAAACAAATTAATAAAAATAAGCAAGGCCAGTAAGATGATCCAATAAAAGGCACTCTTGACTACCCGAGTTCAACCCTTGGGTCACTTGTCCTTTGACCTCTAACTGTGAACCATGGCACATGCACACCCACATAGGTAGGCAATAACCACAAATGTTAGAATACATGAATATATCTTGGTTACACGGTCAAAGTTTACATAATAAATTTGGTTGTAATAGAGCAGATCACCAGTGAGTATTTAATTTGGGGGAGGTAGTGTCTATGTGATAGGTTCTTAGTATGTAGCCCAGGCTGACCTGGAACTTCCTGTGATTTTCCTGCGTGCTCCACCAATTCATATACTGGATAGTTCAAGGCTCTTAGCATTTGTCGCCACATATGCAACCTACACTACCAGGGGGTGCAACTGCGTCACTTGCTTATCTGAAAGTGAGCCTCGGGGCACCTGGGCTGGGGCAGGTAAGATGTCAGTCACATGTGGAGAAGCGCCTCGAGGAAGGCGGCGAGTGCTCCTCACCTTTAGCACTAGGACCTCCAGCATCCCGCCGACACCACCTCGTCCTTCTCTTGCAGGGTCGCTTACACCAACCACACAGGCTGGCAAGGCAGTTATTTGAGGGGAACAGCTCACCACGGACAACAAGCCCACTTCAACGTGGCCTGGACCCTTCTGCACTAGAGACCTCGCGAAGCCTGCGCACGCACCTTTAACGGCCCATGCTGCTCACCCTGCGCCTGCGCACAGGCCTCGAGAGGGCTAGAAAGCACCTGCGCGCCAACGGCCTGGATAACGGCATGTCTACGTACAGCGCCGCCCTGAGGAGGGGCGGTGAACTGCAAGGTTAGGAAGAACAGGAGGTCCCTCTGCTGCAGTGAAACCTGCAGTCTTTCTTGGCCCCTCCCCTGCCCCCAGAAGGGAGTGGCTGCCTGCAAGCCAAGTCTTTAGCAGTACTGCCTGCCAGGAAGGCCTGAGCTCCACTCCACTTGGGACAGTTTATACCCTCCACCACAGTGCTTCTGTTGGATCTCTCCTATGTCAATACCTGATCTGGGCTTGCAGTCAGGGCGGGCTTTTTCTAATCAGTCACTCTGGTCTTGTGGCTTCCTGGCATCCTTTCCACCTGACCACATTCTGGAAAAGACCGCGCCACCTGAGCCAGGTTCTGCCCCACCTGTATTTCAGTGTTGTGGTAACACGGGTCTTCTTTAAACTCCCAATTTCTCATCTCATTTTAGAATGGGTAGATACAGTGTTTTTGAGTTCAGTGTGATCGATCGCACCCTGAAACAAAGAACAGCCAGCAGCACAGCGAAGGTTAACTATCAATGAATGCTCTCTCGAACATCCCCAACAAACAAAAGGAAGTGAAATGATAGTCCCTTACGATGAAAGGAACCCCGACTCTCAAGAGGTGGCAGACCCAGTTGGTTTTACAAAAGAATTCTTTAATGATTGATGGTGGATTTCTAGAAAGCAAAGTTGTTTCAGTTCAGAGTCAATCGTATTCACCTTCTGGTAAGAGAATCAAGATGGCAAAGAGACTTGGTTTCAAGAGGGTGTGGAAACTGGAGGAGAGGGGGTCATGTGTTTGGCATCCAGTTTCAGAAGTAAACCTGGAGAGCCAGCCTGGGGTGGTGGCACAGGCCTTTAATCCTAGCCCCCTCTATGAGGGAGTGGTGGTGGAGGGAGGTAGGGGGCACAGAGGCAGGCAGGGGAGACCCCATCTTGAGGGGCTACAATTAGTGTGTGCTGGCTTTCTTGTGTTTACATGTGTGTGCACACATTGCACAAGGGCACATACATGTGCAAAACCAAGGTGGATGACTACTGAGGGACGTCACAAGGTTTTCTTCTGCCATTCGCAAGTAGAGGCACACAGGAAGAAATACGCCAGGCACGGTGGCTTACAGCTGTAATCCCAGCAGCAGAAGAAAGAGGCCGGATTGCGGGTTTGAAGTCAGCTGGACTGTAATAAGAAAAATCTGATTCACAAGATAAAACGACAGCCTATAGAACGGGAAAAGATCTTCACTAACCCCACATCAGACAGAGGGCTGATCTCCAAAATATACAAAGAACTCAAGAAATTGGACACCAAAAGATCACATAATCCAATAAAAAAAAATGGAGTACAGACCTAAACAGAGAACTCTCAACAGAAGCATCTAAAATGGTTGAAAGACACTTAAGGAAATACTCAACATCCTTAGTCATCAGAGAAATGCAAATCAAAACAACTCTGAGATTCCATTTTACACCTGTAAGAATGACCAAGATCAAAAACACTGATGACAACTTATGCTGGAGAGGTTGTGGGGAAAAGGGAACACTCCTGCATTGCTAGTGGGAATGCAAGCTGGTACAACCCTTTTGGATGTCAGTGTGGCGATTTCTCAGAAAATTAGGAAACAACCTTCCTCAAGACCCAGCAATACCACTTTTGGGTTTATATCCAAAGGATGCTCAATCGTGCCACAATGGCATGTGCTCAACTATGTTCATAGCAGCATTGTCTGTCATAGCCAGAACCTGGAAACAACCTAAATGTCCCTTAACCGAAGAATGGATAAGAAAAATGTGGTACATTTACACAATGGAGTACTACACAGCAGAAAAAAATAACAGTTTGAATTTTGCAGGCAAATGGATGGAGCTAGAAAACATTATTTTGAGTGAGGTAACCCAGACACAGAAAGACAGTTATCACATGTACTCACTCATAAGTGGTTTTTAAACATAAAGCAAAGAAAGCCAGCCTACAAACCACAATCCCAGAGAATTTAGACAACACAGACACTAAGAGAGACTCACATAGATCTAATCTACATGGGAAGTAGAAAGTAGAAAAAGACAAGACCTCCTGAGTAAATTGGGAGCATGGGGACCTTGGGGGAAGGTTGAAGGAGGGAGGGGAGCAGAGAAAAATGTAGAGATCAATAAATATCAACAAAAAATATATTTAAAAAAAGAAGAACCTGATTTTTTAAAAAGTAACACATATTGTTTGCTGTAGCACCAGTGCTACCACAATACCGAGTTGCGAGTGAGGAGCTGAGAATTTTGAGAAACACCACACAACGGGTCATTCGTGCTAAGAGAACGCCATTTATTGAAGGGTGAACGTGTTCTATACATACGGGCTTGCAGCACTGTGGAAAAACCCAGGGTTTGGAAGTTCATGTTATTGAAGGGCCAAATCAGTAAACAACTAAACAGAACAAGAAGCTTGTGGTTAGGCCAGGAGGTGCAAGATGGACTTGCTAGCAAAGGTCAGCAGGGAATAAACTGACATCCCAGGGGGAAGGGCCCAACAGTGTGCTGTGGTCGATTTCCCAAGGACCCACACATATGTATTTAAAGGCTCAGGAAGGTGGGGGAAAAGAAACGACCTCTCTGTTAACAGCACAGGACACTGGCTTTCTCCTTTGACTGGGTCCCATGCTATGGGATTGTGCTTTACAGTGACTTATCCAAGCTAAATTTATGTGCACATGACCCTGAACGGTCAAGTCAACTGCAAGCTGCCCGTGAAGACACACTTCCGTAATCACAGCACTCCAGAGGCCGAGGGAGGGGGACAGTGAACGCAAGGCTCACCTTCGTCACTTGGGTAGTTCTAGGCCAGCCAGTGCAAGTTCGTGAAACCCTGTCTCAAAACAACAGCAACAATAACAATTCCTCTTTTGTTTTTTGAGACAGGGTCTCACGGCATAGCCCTGAGTGGCCTCGAACTCACAGAGACCTACCTCGGGAATGTTAGGATTGAAGGTGTGTGCCACCATGCCTGGGATAATAATAGAAATTACAAAGAGTAGCGTAGAGGGAGCTGACCCTGGGGACCCAGTCACTAGTTCTCCGGCATCTGTTGCCACTGTCTGCATCATACGGTGCCCAGGTATTTTTCTGTCCTGTGTAGCATCAACATTATATGAAACTATTAGCTCTTTCCTCTCAGATCCTTTCCTATCCCTCTCATAGACACGCAATAAAAATGCGACCTAGAATGAGTTATAAGAGAAAAATCTGAGTTCTTTTAAAAACAGGCTAATGGTTTAGTTCTTTTAAATATTTGCGGTGTTTCCTGGCCGTACATAGTTATTCAGACGTACCGCTCCTATTTGATTGAGCTCAACACCTGTTACCAGCGTTTCTACTGCATGCACACTTCTATTGCAAGAGTTTGAATGGATGCGTACATGGCTCAGTGGATAAGAATGGTTACTGCCCGTTCAGAAGCCCTAAGATAGGATTCCAGCACCCACATCAGATTGCTCTCAGACACCTGTAAGTGTAGTGGTAAGGGACCCAGTGTCCCCTTCTGGGTACCCACACACACACATGGCGCACATAAACACATGCACATAAAAATATAAATGTCTTAATAAGAGAGCTTTTATTTGATTAATGCTTCAACTATCTGTGGAATTTCTATCCATGACTTTTTTGAGATAGAGTAATATTTTATTTGTATTTTAATAAAGCTTCCCTGAAGATGAGAGTGCAGATTAGGTCACTAGAGGCCAGGGAGTGGTGGCATACACCTTTGATCCCAGGACTCAGATCCGCCTGGGCTACATGAGACTGAATTTGTCTAAAAAGAGAAACAGAACTCACAAAAGGTGTGTCCAGCACTTGGGGGGTCACAGGCCTTTAATCCCAGCACTAGGAAGGTGGAGATGGGTGATATGGCTGGGCAGAGAGAGGTCTATAAGGCAGGAGGAGAAAAGAGTTCAGGACAGACTAAGGTTTGGTGGAGAGATTGCAATCTGCAGTCACGTTGAGGACATGATTGCCCCTTAGAGCCTTGGTAGAGGTTAAGAACTCTCTCATGGCTTGATTTTCTGATCTTCAGCTTCAACCCCAGCATCATGTCTCTGGGTTTTTATCATTCGTGCTACAATAGAGGATCTTCAGAGCCCACATACAAAGGATATATCTATAGCTTTTACATGAAACTGATAATTAAGGATATTTACCCTTTCCCCATCAGCATTTTACATACATTGTCTAGCTTTTCCATTTCTTATTGTGGACATTTGTAACTTACTTCTTTTCGCCCCTTAAATCTGGTTATTTTATTATTAGGGCAAGGACTCACTTGTCCCAGCTTGGCTTTGAAATTGCTATGTAGACCAAGTTAGCCTCAAACTCAGCATCCTTTCTAACTGAGCCTCTTAGGTTCTGAAATTATAGGTAGAATTGTATAATCACCATACAGTCACCTGATACATGGTGTGTGTGTGTGTGTGTGTGTGTGTGTGTGTGTGTGTGTGTCAGCCAGAGATTGACATCAGGTTGTCTTCCTCTTATCACTTCCTGGTTTTTTCCATATCTTTTGTTATTTGACCCTTTCCCCCATGTCTGTTCTAATCTTCTCTCTGTCGCTGTCATAGACAACATGACCAAAAGCAACTTGCAGAGGAAGGGACTTGCCTCACAAGTTCCACAGTCCATCACTGAGAGAAATCAAGGCAGGAACTCGACTCAGTGATGGAAGCAGAGATCATGGAGGAACACACCTTAGTGACTTGCTTCCCCAGGCCACTCACCTAGGTTTCTTACATAACCCAGGACGGGTGCTCCAGGTAGCTCTGTCAACAGAGGACTGAGCCCTCATCCATCAACAATCCATCAAGAGAGGGCCACCAACATGCCCATTGGCCAACAAGATGGAGGCAATTCCTCAGCTGCAGTTCCCTTCTCCCGGGCACGTCAAGTTGACAACCAAGATTTGTCACCACCACATAGACAATGAATTTTAGTCATCTGAACCCCTACTCCCCTCCCATCCCCTCCGTCTCCCACTGAAATCCCTCTCCCAACAAGCCCCCTCCCACTTTCCTGGCTTTTTGTGTGTGGCCCACTGAGTTATTTGCACAATTGTGGGTGCGAGGTATTTACTGGAGCATGCTACGCCACTGGGGAAAATGAAGCCACATCACCCAGCAACCACTGAGTGCCAATAGTCCCCCAGGAAGGGCCCTCCCCACCCATGAGGAGATACTGCCAGGCCCGGTTGTGAGCAGACAACCACAGTTGTACTGCGTCCACGAATACGATGGCAATGTCAAGTTCAAAGGACATCGTTTGGCTGCACATCTCCCCAGCTGTAGATTCTTGCATTCTTTCTGCCCCCTCTTCTACAATGTTCGAGCGTCCCGAGCCTTGGAGAGGATGGTAGATGATATAAAGGTTCCATTGAGGACCAAGTCCTCCATCGTCTCTTTTTCCTCTGCGCAGTGGCCAGCTGGGGGGTCTCTGCAATAAGAGGTTTCTCTGATAAAAGCTGGAGACTGTGCTAATCTCAAATGGCGAGACTGAGCCAGGGTAACCCACCTTACTTCAGGAGACAGAGTCTCTCACGGAACCTAGTAGTAACTGCCTCGGCTACACGGGCTAGTGTTAAACCGGTCTCCACGACCTGCCTGTCTCCACCTCCCAGCCTGGAGGTTTACAGGAGACCAAATGCCCAACTTCTACAGGAGTTCTAGGGATATGGACTCAGGTCCCCATGGTTGTACAATAAGTGTTTTACAGTAACCACTGAGCCGTCTTCCCAATTCTTACCTATGAGTTTATCAACACATAGATGTCTGGTACCAAACTGGACCTAATTGCAAAGTACTGTATCTCAGCTCTTCAGGAGGCTGTGGCGGGAAGATTACCACTTCAAAATCTGCCTGGGCTACAGAGTGAGTTCAAGCCCAGCCCGGACAATTTTATGAGCCCTGTCCCAGAATGAAAAACACCTGGGAAGCTGATTCAGTGCCACAAGTATAAGGACTTGAGTTTGGACCCCCAGCATGTGTAAAAATCTGGATGCAGTGGCCAGTGCCTATAACCCCAGCGCTGGGGAAGTGGAGACAGGCAGATCTTGCTGGTCAGCCAGTCTTGGTGAGTGGTGCTGGTTCTGTGAGAAACTCTGTCTCAAAAAGTAAAGCGGAGAGTAATTGAGAAATATAGCTAATATCAACCTCTGGATTCTACAAATTGGCAGACAAGTGCACGTGTGTACATGTGAGCGCACACACATACCGACAGACACATGCACATGCATCGGCAGACATGTGTAAACATATATACCCACAGACACATCAACAGACACATGTACACACACACACTTATAATTTGTTGTTGTTGTTGTTGGGCCTGATGGTGCATTCCTTTAGTCTCAACACTTGAGAAGCAGAGGCAAGCATATCTCTGTGCAGTTGGGGCCAGCCTGGTCTACCTGTTGAATTCTGGACCTACAAGGCTACAAAATGAGATCGTTTCTCAAGAAGTTTTCTAAAAATAAACAAATAAATAACTAAAAATTTTAAAAAAGGGGTCTGGTGATATAGCTCAGTGGTAGAGCATCTGCCTAGAATCCACCAGGGTGAGGTCCAGGCAGCTGATTGGATAAGAAAGACCAACTGAGACCCAGCTTGGTGGCGCACACCTTTAATTCCAGTACTCTAGAGGCAGAGGTAGGCAGATCTCTGTGAGAGCAAGCAGGGGAGAGGGGAAGAGGACTATGAATGATAAGAGTAATGAACAACATGACCTGGACTCTAAAACGGCAGCTGCTATTTGAGGCTGCTGGAGAAGGCGGTTGCTTCACGTTGGAAGTCGTGTGAGCTTCTGAGAACGACTCCTTGTGGGAAACAAGTTTCCTTCAGATTAAATACATCAGCAATGAGTTCAGCAAGCAATGGCACAGACCCGGAATCCCAGTGCTCAGGAGGCTGAGGCAAGAGGATCAGGAATCCAAGGCCATCCTTGGCCACGTTGCAACTTCAAGGCCAGCCTGGGTTACACAAGGCTGTGTCAAAGCAAGAGACCTCAGGCCTGCTGCACACTCTCATGATACCAGATCTCAGGGGCAGAGGCAGGAGGACACTCTGGCATCTGGGAGTTCGAGGACAGCCTGGGTCGCATAGGGAGTCCTTCTATCAAGAAACAAGCATACCTATATGATATCTTTTCTATGAGCAAAGCCAGTTGTAATTTTCTTGGACAACTAAAATTACCAGAGAAGACAGTGACTTCACAAATAGGCCTGGGCTACTATACAAGTTCTTCTCAGACAGGGTGGAAACTGGCTGTATGCATCTGTTTCTCGACTTCCTCACTGACAGAATGGTGGCTCTCGCTGAGGTCCAGGAGGAACGCTCCCCGAGAATGAACTGTTACACCTGGCCCATTACAGGACACGGGGAGGAAGAGAGACAATGCTTATGGGTTCCAAAGACTAGTAATTGGCCACATTAGCGAATCACTGCTCATCAGGGCCGCAGGACAAGGACTCGGGAGCCTCGTTTCTCCTGGCAGCCCGGAGTAGGGGCAGAAGTGGGGTTTGTAAGCATAAAATCTACCAACATGTGCTGCCAAGTTACAGTTAAAAATTCCACCTATCAGGATCTAGAGATCAGGGGCTTCCTTGTGTGTTCCATCATTGTCAATCGATATACAATGCAAGCCTTTCAGCCCAACCAATCAGATTCATTTGTTCCTTCTTTGGCTCAGGAAAGCCATGTTTCTTAAGAACTGAAGATGCATGACAACTGTTTCTATAGTTTACAGAGGAGGTGGGTCAGCCATTGGAAAGTTCTCGGCTCCCCTAGGGTTTGGGAACCTAAACTTTATTTTACCCTACAGGTAAAATGGAGTCTGAAGTCAAAATGGCTGTGCTCAGGCCAAGGCGCTCTGCCTACTCCCTTCAGAAACACTATGCTCAAGGCCAACAGTCAAAAGAACTTTTGTAGATTGAGAAGCCACTTAGAATATTATTATTGTTGGGGCGGGGCGGGGGGGGGCAGAGGTGGCACATGCCTTTAATCCCAGCACTCTGGAGGCAGAGGCAGGTGGATCTCTGTGAGTTCAAGGTTCAAGGCCAGTCTGGTCTACAGAGAAACCTTGCCTGGGGGGTGGGGGGAAAGATGCATCTATGGATCTCAAATTTACATATTGGGACCATTTACTTAAAAAAATAATTTGGGACTGCAGAGATGGCTCGGCAGCTAAGAGTACTTCCAGGAAACACTCTTCTGAGTACTGACCTGAATTCAGTTCCCAGCATCCCCAAGCAGTGGTTCACAACCTCCAAAACCTCAGCAGGGGATCCAACGCCCTCTTCTGGGTCTGTGGGGAACTCCACTCACGCACACATACACCAATAGAGACATATACGCACAAACACAACACCGAGTTAAAATATATAAATTTGAGGCTGGGTGCGGTGGCACACAACTTTAATCCCAGCGCTTGGGAGGCAAAAGCAGGCATACCTGTGAGTTCAAGACCAGTTTGGTCTACAAATCAAGTTCCAGGACAGACAGGGCTCTGTGGAGAGGCAAAGAAACAACAACAACAACAACAAATAGAAAACAAACAAACAAACAAAAACCCATAGATTTGACATTTTTCTTTTTCTCAGTGCGGCATATTAAGGTTAGAGTCTGGTGAGCCATGTAGTGCTGGCTCACACCTTTAGTTCAGCACTCAGGAGGCAAAGGCAGGTGGATCTGAGTTCAAGGCCAGCCTGGTCTACAGAGTGATTTCCAGGACAGCCATGGATACACAGAAAAACCGTGTCTCAAAAAAAAACCCAAATAAATAAATAAACACACAAACAAATAAAATCAGAGCCTTACACATGCTGGGCAAGCTCCTGCCTCAGTCGTCTTTTACTTTTTTTTAATATTAGATTCAGAGAGCTTGATTTTTTTCTTTAACATTTATTTAACTTTATTTTATGTGCATTGGCATCAGATCTCCTGGAACTGGTGTTACAGACAGGTGTGAGCTGCCATATGGGTGCTGGGAATTGAACCCAGGTCCTCTGGAAGAGCAGCCAATGCTCTCAACCACTGGGCCATCTCTCCAGCCCCACCACCTTTGAATTTTTTGAGGCAAGGTCATTAGGTTGTCAAAGTCAGCTTTGAACTCTTTGGCTTTTTCTTTTTTTATTGTTTTTAATCAAACTATACATTTTTATCCCCAGCCCTCTCTTCCTCCTCTCTCCTGTGACCCCCATGCTCCCAATTTACTCAGGATATCTTGTCTTTTTCACCTTCCTGTGTAGATACGCTGAACTCACTTTGTAACCTAGGCAGACCTTGAACTTTTGATTCTTTTGCTACAGCCTTTCAAGGAGTTAGGATCACAGGTCTGTAGCACCAGGCCTATTAGATTTTAGTCCAAGTCTGGTAACTTAACTCCTGTGGGGCACTCTCCTGTGCACTGCAGTTTCTACCCACTAGGTGGCAGTATCACCCTCTCCTCAGTGGTGACAACTGAAAACATTTCCAGACCGCCTTGAACATGTTAAGAACACGTAGAACAAGCTTAGATGCTCTTCTTCTCTCTTATTCCTCTAACAGGGCTTAAGCAACACAGAGAAAGGGCTGGGGAGATGGTTTAACCGTTAAAGGTATTTACTGCTCTTGCAGAGGACCTGAGTTTGGTTCCCCACACCAGAGAACTTGGGTTTGGCGGTCTGCATGAGTAACTCTAGTTCCAGGGGATCCAGTGCTCTCTTCTGGCCTCCATGTGATAAACATAATTTTGTGCAGACAGACAGACACATATGTGCACACACATCCTTAGGAACAAAACATTTTATTTTAAAAAAGCTTTATTTATTATTGCCTTTATTGCGTTAGCAGGAAAATCAAGACATTTTGTGAAAATTTAAATCCACCACAACATATAACACAAAGATCTACAAACAGAATTAGTGTCCTGCCAGGTGTGGTGCACACACCTTTAATCATAACACTCAGGAGGCTAAAGTAGGAATTATCTCTGGTCAGTTTGAAGCCATCTGGTCTACACAGTGGGTTCCAGGACAGCCAGGGCTTTGTAGAGACCCTGTCTTTGAAAAACAAAACAAAGCAAAAAAACAAAAACAAAACAAAACAAAACAAATTGTGCCTTAATTATCATTTCTCACCTTTAGTCAGTAAAGATCATTTGTCTTTAACAAAGACAAAAAGAAATCACCCACATTAAACACACATTAAAACCCGGTGAAATTAGCATTCTCTCTCCAACCCCTTGCATTCATTAACCACTTCCTAAGTGCACAAAGGCTGGTGAGTTTTACGGTGTGTGTCTGTGTGTGCATGGTGTGTGTGAGGGCACACACGCCATGGCACATGTGTGGAGGTAGGAGACAACTTGGAAAAGTAGGTCCTCTCTTCACACCTTTACGTGGGTTCTGGGGACCACAATCAGGTCACTGGGCATGCGCGTTCAGTGCCTTGACCTGCTGAGCCATCGCATCAGCCTGTGTTCTGTATGGTTCCTAAGTCTTTACAATTTGGGAGACATGGGGCCAGGAAGATGGCCTGGCAAGTAAGAGCGTGCCACATGAAGCTGGTGACCCGAGCTCCATCAGACAGACCCACACGCAGCAGGAAAAAAGAAAGGCTCCTGTAAGCTGTTCTCTGCCCTCCAGGGCACGCACGCGTGTGTGTGCCCTCTGCCCTCCCCACTGTTCCGTGGCACACACTCGTGTGTGTGTGCACAAGTATAGAAAGAAGTGTAATAAAAAACAAAATTTAGATGTCAAAATAAATGCTACCTGGTTTTCAGATACTGTATGGTTCTTCTGCTTGTTTGTTTTTAAGAGACAAGGTTTCTCTGTAACAGTCCTGAAACTCGCTCTGTAGACCAGGCTGGCCTCGAAGTCACTGAGATCCATCTGCCTCTGCCTCCCCAGGGCTGGGATTAAAGGTGCAGGCCATGCATGTTAATTATCAAGTTAAATACATGCCAAGAGCATGACCTCACTCTTGCAGGATGCCTCAACCACTGTTTATTTGCATTATCGCTTGCCTTGCTATGATCACAAGCCTCACAGAGACAAGTTAGAGAGCAGGGGTTTATTTCAGCCGGTGTCACTGTGCTGAAGGCAATGTGACAGCCATGGAGGCGGAGACCTGAAGCAGGCTGCTCACATCTCCTCAGACTAGAAAACAGAATTCTTCTGGAACAGAGGTGGGACTCAATCCCTCAAGACCCACCCGTGCCAGCAACCTACTTTTTCTGGTTAAAGCCTGCCCCTCGGTTTTCACAGCCTGCCAAAACAGTGCTACCAGCTATGGACCACGTGCAGGAAGTCCCACATTCGAACCATAACGACGTCTAATTAGGTACCCCTGAATTAATTACTGCCCAGAGTCTAAGAGATCCAGGACTCAATCTCCACCGCACATCAGGAAACTTGCTAACACAGTTATCCTCTGATTATTATTAGTCCATGTATGTGTACTGCCTGACATGGGTATTGGGAACTGAACCAGATCCTGCGATTATTGTTAATCCATGGGGTAGTCATAAGACGGAAGGAGAACAGTGGTGGCTCGTACCTTTAATCCCAGCACTCAGGAGGCAAAGGCAGGCAGATCTGGGAGTTCAAGGCCAGCCTGGTCTACAGAGTGAGTTCCAGGACAGCCAGGGCTACTATATAGAGAAACCTTGCCTCGAAAAACCAACAACAACAACAACAAAGAAGGCGACGGCAGGAGACCCCTTTTTAAATGTTTAAGCTAAGAAGACAGAAAGGACAACCATTGTGAAAGCATTTATCTTCGTAACAAGGTTGTTACTACTTCATACATTTCATGCGTGGCTCACTGTGCAGCTTGAGGAGCCCACAACACGCGTGACACAGGCAACACCTCGCGGTCCCGTTCATAGGCACATTCCTTCTGCTTTAGGCAAGTCCAGGCGACCCCCACAGGTCAAGCAGCTTTACAAACGGGCGGTCAGGCTCGCGTCAAAGTTCTCAGGGTACACGTGCTTATTTGACAGGAGAGACACATAGAGCTCATAGAGATGGAGACTGCGGGGCACCAGTCGGTTAACTACTTTGCCTTCCTTCAAGATCTCGTCAGTCTTTTTGTCAGTAGACATTGGGTTTTCTAAGAAATCCGCGTCTTCCACGTACAGCTCATCTCCTGAAAAACAGGAAAGCTTCATTTCCACAAACACCGCCTCATAAATTACCCCAGTATATTGATGGCATGAACCAGTGCCTTTTGTATGTATTTCATGTTGAAGCTTAGTTAGTTTTTCTTGTTGCTACTTTTAATTTATTTTTAAATTTATTATTAATCCATGGTATGTGTGTGTGCACTGCCTGGTACTGGGAACCGAACCCAGATCCTCTGATTATTATTAATCCATGTATGTGTACTGCCTGACGTGGGTATTGGGAACTGAACCAGATCCTGCGATTATTGTTAATCCATGGTGTGTGTGCGTGTGTACACGTGCATGTGTGCGTGCATATGTGTAGTGTCAGACGTGGGTCCAGCAGCATAGCTTCGAACCGCTGAGACTCTTTCTTACCCAGTTTCAGGTTTTTATTACATTTGAGAGAGAAAGAAAGAGAAAGGGAGAGAGAGGTGTGTGCGCTCATCACGTGTGTACATGTGGTTATGTATATTCACGCAAGTAGAGGTCAGAGATCAGCCTGCCAGAGTTGGGTCTCCACCGAGTAAGCATGCGCGATGGACACTGGAACGTGAGACCTCATGGAAGTCAGAGGACAACTTCAGGGATCGTTCCTCCAGAACTTTCCTCCTTTCGTTTCAGATGGGGTTTCTTACTGGCCTGGAACGTCACCAGCTAGGCCAGGCTAGCTGGCCCCTGAACTTCCACAGAGCCGCCTGTCTCTGCCTCCCACCCGCCGTTACAATGCTGAGGTTACAGGTGCCTGCCGCCATGCCTGGCTCTTCGTCCCAGTTCAGGGGATTCAAACTCAGTGCTCTACCCTCTTGGTAGGATTTTAATACTCATGCCTACCCCTAAGACAAGCATTTTCTTGGGGCACATCCCAATGGATGACTATAAGTGTTTCCGTTGTGAACCATAATTATTTTATCACATAGTTCAGCAGCACTGGGAATAAAAACCGAGACCTTGACCTTGACACAAGCTAGGCAAGTACTCCACCGAGTCACATGCCCAGCCATGAGCCCTGTAAGTTCTGGATTACTTACTTCATGGCTCTCTTCAGCCTATTAAATATAATGTTGGCCTTAATAACACTTTCAATGCTTTGATATAGTTAATAAAACAGTTTGATAAAGTTAATCTATCTTTCTCAATCATTCTCCACCTTAGGTGTTTCAGGATTTATTTATTTATTTATTCTGATTTTTCGAGATGCCGTTTCTCTATGTAACAGCCCTAGCCATCCGGGAACTAGTTCTGTAGAGCAGGCTGGCCTTGAACTCACAAAGATCTTCCTGCCTCTGCCTCCTGAGTGCTGGGACTAAAGGCTGCACCACCCCCACCCGGCTCCACGTTAGTTTTTGGTTCAGGGATCAGGGAACCACGGATCCCTGAACCTAGCTGCATCATAGGTTTTTCAGGTTAGAGTCCATAGCTCCTTGGCTCAGTTCCTAGCACCTATATGACAGCTCATTACCACATGCGACTCTAGGTCCACGGGAGCTGATGTCCTCCTCTGACCTCTGCAGATATAGGCACACAGGTGCTGTGCGCACACGCATACATGTAGGCGACACCGATATACCAGATAAAAATAAATCTTTTTTTTTTCAAAGCTGCTAAACTGTCCCTCTGAAGGGTGAGTAACAAATCTCATCGGTATTATCTGAAACTGAAGAGGCAGATATGAAATATGGCCGTCACGAAGTGCCTGCCTACTACAACACGAATCAGTGTCTGCCAAGCTGTAACTGACCATCAACAAATGTCCTGATTCAAATGCGCTAACAGTTCACAAGTTCTCATCATTGAAATAAAAATGTAAAAGTGACTTGGGGCCAGCCTGGTCTACAGAGTGAGTTCCAGGACAGCCAGGGCTAAGCAGAGAAACTTTGTCTAGGAAAACTAAAGTAAAAGTGAGATAATAACGCATGAGAAAAGAATTTTGTTCACGCTTAGGAAACACACACACACACACACACACACGCAAGTTTATAAATTCAGACTCCCTAGTTATAATAAACATGGGTTGTGCACGCTGACACACCCTTGATCCCAGCACAGGGGTGATGAAGGCAGGAGAATTATAAGTTCGAGGCTAGCCTGGGATACACAGGAGATCTATACTTAGACATTGTCTCAAAAATAAATAAAAAATAAACACTATGTGTCCTATAGTTAGCTTTAATTATCAAAAAAAAACATACTTCCTATGGTCACCTGAGAAAGAGTCTTAATTGAAGGACTGCCCAGATCATATTGGCCTGTGGGGGGACTGTCCTGAATGTTATTTGATGTAGATGATGCCCACTGTGGGCAGCACCATCCCTTAGTCAGGGAGTCCCAGATGGAATAATAAAGCTAGCTAACCAGAGCCCTTTGTGAGCCAGCTAGTAAGTCGAATTTTCCAGGGTCCCTGATGTTCCTCTCTGGCTGTGAAGTGCGTTCCTTGGTTGAAAACAATGCTATGTGTAAAGCTTGAAAGCCTGTCTTCTGGTTTCTCCCTTCGCCTCTCTCAATGATGAAATAAACCCCGGACTTCTCCAAAGTTGCTTTTGGTCATCATATTTGTCATAGGAACAGACGAAACTAGATAATATGTGTATTTTAGAACTTTGCCCTTCTTTTAATTAATATTCCACCAAGCATGTCAAACCTCTTGATATTACAAAGCTTATGTCGGAGAACCACACAGCTAAATTACAAAAAAAAAAAATGTTTAAAAAACAAAAACCTCAGTGGTTTAAAGAAGCTTATGATTTTGTGTTGGATTGCAAGCTAATTATCAGGGGATACATGTCGCCTGTAAGCCAGATGTTGGCCACACCCACAGGCCTAGGCTGTGAAACAGCCTATCACCCCCACCTCTGCTGGCAGCCTGGCTGGAGCAAACATGGATACTAACGAGAGCACCGGCACTTCCCCGCCTCACCTGGGAAGAGCATGATGGTGCCATCAGCAGTGGAAAGGATTATCGGCAGCCATTTCTCAGTGATGTCAAAGGGGCGAGCTGAGGAAAATCTGTACAGAGCGGAGAAAGAGGCGAAAGTTTCAAGTCTTCTCATCTCATAGAACTGTGGTGCTGCCAGCCAGATTTCTTTGGACAGGAAACACTCCGTTGCTTCTGATGGAGACAACCACTGTAGGGACAGAGGAAGCAGCTCTGTGAGTTTTCCTCCACTACCGGGCAGGCCTGAGGTTGCTAGATGGGTATATGAGACCCATTTGATGGAAAAACTAACATATCTCTTGCTAGATCTCTCAGGGAGCCTGGGGACATTCAGAGGCCTGGATGCTGCCAATCCCTACTGGCCGGCTTAATCAGGAGGTGGAAGCAGAAAAATTGCTTGAGTCCAGGAGATGAAGGTCTGCCTGGGCAACATAGTGAGGTCCTGTCTCAGAAAAAAAGACCTGGTGGCTGGAGAGATGGTTCGGTGGCTAAAAAAAAGGCAGCCGCTGCTTTTCCAGAGGACCAGAGTTGGGTTCCCAGCACCACACTGGGCAACTCACGATCACTCATAACTCAAGCCCTAGACAATTCAACACCCTCTTCTGGCCTCCATGGTCAGCTGCAGGCATGCTGAAGGGCAAAATAATAACAATCAAGCCACAGTTATTAAATAATAATATTAAAAACATTAATAATTATTAAATGCGAGTTAGAATGCTGGTAATCAGTAAAAATAATTGAAAAAAAATCCTTCCAGCCCTGAGAACTAAACTCGCGCACCACATGACAACTTAATAAAATTTCTTTTCAAACACCAAAACTGCTGAACTGTAAGCATATATAAATAAATAAGAAAATCTAGAGAGACCTACCGCTCGCCTAGGGCTTCCGCGTAAAGTCATGTCAGACCACAGAACAGTGGGGGAACCTGAGCAACATCTAAGTCTTATTGACTCAAACAGACACAGATCAGAATTTGGAGGATCACGTGGACTAGTATTGGGTGAGCAGTGTGCCTGAGAAAGTCTACACAAAACTGAACCCCAAAACTCTATTACATATTTAGTGCACAGAGTAGAACCATATGACAGCCGAGACGATGGCTACTTCTGAGGAAAGAGCAGCCACCTGGGGGGTTCCCGACTAAACTTCATGCTTAACTGGAGCCAAGATTTTTTTCCAGTTTTCTCCAGCAGCGCATTGCCCACAGCGGGAAAGCCTTAATTAAACGTAGCCAGCATTTGGGCACTCAAGGGGCCAGAAGAGAGTGACATAATGGAACTGTAGCTAAATTAGCTCCAGAATATACTGTAGACCCACCTCCAGACCATTTAAAACATACCTTAAAAGGATAATCTCTAATAACTTAACTGCCTGTCGGAAAAAAATGCCACACTATTTAAAAGAATAGAACAAAACTCAGCAGTCAACAACTTAAAAAAAATGCTAACATGTAATCAAAAACTCCAAGACATGTCAAATGCACGAAAGATGCCTGAAACATAACTGTGTCTGGTGCTAGTGATACAAAGGGGGGAGAAGAAAGTTGATGGGGCTGAAATCTTGTAATACGTTCTAGAAACCGAATTACAACGATTAGGAACTGAAGCAAATGAATCATTGTGAAGTTTGCAGAACAGGCAGTGGAAGCTCTGCCAGAGTGTCCCCGCATAGGTTCCCACAGGGTGAGAGCTGAATCCTTGACCGTCTCCGGCAAGATCACGCCTTTGGTCTGCGGTGATGCTCAGCGCAGCCCGCGGGTTTCTCGGCCCCTACCTTGTAGCCCACCACTTCGGTCAGGTCGGGCTCTACGCGCGGGGTCTCGCGCAGGCAGCACAGGTGGAAGGTGGTGTCGAAGCGGCGACTGCCGCGCCCGATCGGCGTGAGCCAGCCGCCCCAGCTGCGCAAAGCCCAGATGTCGGGCGTGCAGTCCAGGTGCTCGCACAGCTGGAGGAAGTGGCGCGGGTCACTGCGCACGCGCGAGCGCCATTCGCCCAGGCCGGGCGGAGGCGGCAGCGCCAGACCGGGCTCCCGAGAAGCGGGCGGCGAGCTCCGCGGTCTCAGCAGCAGCACCCCAGCCTCCTCGAAGGTCTCGCGGATGGCGCAGATGCGCAGCGCTACATCATCAGGCAGCGCCCCGGCGCCGGCGTCGTCGTGGACCAGTCCCGGAAAAGGGGGTTGCGGAGGCGGCGCCGGGCCCAGGCCG